TGCAGGATCGGGGGGCGATTGCCTCACAGTTTGGTTCGCGATGGAATGTTGAAGTAAAGGGCCCGAGGCAGTGGCTTGAATAGCATGTGAGACTGGAGGCCAGGGAGGGGGGGAGGTCCGGTGTGTGTTTTCACCTGGAACTGGACTTGGCAGTTCTCGGCTCATTCTTGGGCCGTCGTACATGACGCTGTGGTCATCGCGCGGCTGATGCTGGGAGCGAAGCATCGGACCACATCGGACCAACCCAATTCCTGCATGCAAGAACGAGCTTTCGTCCAAGTCTGTTACTCTCCAGTCAGCGGCAGGTTGTGGCTGCCCAGTGTGGCGAGTTTGCCCAGCAGACACCTGGCAGCATGGCTCTACATCAGGAGACCTGCTCGTGACAATGACATATGTTTTACAGGAACATTAGCAACACCGCCTGGGCATTTGCGAAACTGCAGATCAAAAGGCCAGGTCCACCTCTTGTGCAGTCTTGATGCCGGCACTTGCAAAAGAGCCCGGGAGATCGGGGGAGGCCCGAAATGATGGCGGCCATCTCACGATGTGTGCAGCAGCGAGCTGCCGAAATGCCGCCACAGGGCATTGCCAATACGGCTCCACGCTCGGACGTTTGTGCAGCGACCAGCACTGGGCTGCTGGTATTCGATGATCCCAGGCATGGTCCTTCGCCACGCTTAACATCAGGGACGATGGTCTGATGTGGGGAGTCCAAGCTGCTCTCGTCCCGTTGTGTTGCGCAGAAGGCTCTTGTCCGTTGCGGCACTTCACGATTCTGCTTGCTTCCGTGATTTCCGTAATTTTGTGGATGACTCAAGGTGATAGTTCTCGTGTGTCAGACCCATAAGCACGTGCTCGCTTACTTCATGTCGCCAGGTTGTCCATGAACTCCTACGGCCGCAGCAGAGTTCTACATTAAGCCGAAGACCGGGCTAGATTACCGTAGCCGTTGCCATGGCAGCATTTGGGGCCGCCGGCGATGCCTTCATGGATGACGTGCCTTTCCCAAACTGTGGCTCCAATCTACGGACTACAGAATTAGATATTGGACATCTGCTGTTCGGGCAAGATTAGAGTCGCCAGGCAGCTTGCAACTGATGTAGGAGGACTTAGATGTCCCCGATCGCTGACAAGTTTTGGGGACCACGGCTGCGGTCAAGACATGTCAAGACTGAATTCAGTCAGGTTCGCGCGGCTCAGACTCAGATTCGCAGCTTGCTTGCCCTTGCCTCAGAATGAACGAGCACCATGCCTTGCGTTTCAGACGTCATGCGTTGAGGGAGCTGATGATGATGTCAGTGGCAGTGAATGGTTCGACGGTGGCATGAGCGAGCGGCTTGACAAAGCTTCTGACTTGTGCTGGCGGAATGTCGAGAGAGGACTCCTCACACACTTCTCGGTGTGCAAACATCCGAGGAGAACGGCCGCGTCACACTTCTCCCAGGTCATCGGCTGTGAGCAAGAGCTTTCATGACCCGGTACTGTTTGACCTTGCCATGACACCATGGAACGCGTAGTGGCGAAGAGTGGTGGCTGAGAACATGAAGCACGTGCAGGCCGCCAGGCTTTCGAGTGGTGCTGGCCGCGACCTCATTGGCAAGACTTCGAGAGTGCACAGTATTGCTAAGAGTTTCGGTACGACTTGCTTGTCTTTCAATGAGGGGCATGTCACAGCAGTGCCAGCACAACAGCTAGGCAGTCAGAAGCCGAAATTAAGATTGACGGGGTTTTCAGATCAGGGGGCCCAGAAAGCGGCCTAGCTGACAATCGACGCTCTTGCTACTATGTGGCACCCATCTAAGGCATCATCGGCCGGGATATTTGCGCCACCGTTGCCTGGCGCAAGCAAATACTGTCGGGGACAGATAGGGGTCTTCAGGCTGCTTGCCTTTCGGTAGCAACATGGCCAGGCAGTGCGATGAGCGCAGTTCAGGTTGGATCTCGAGTCGTCGTGTTGGATCCAAGCCTGGAAAAGCTCGTGGAGCCAACTGGAACGATTGTGGAAGTGCGCTGTGATGGTGGCCGAGTGAAAGTTCAACACGACAGCCGAGGGCTGAAATCAATGAGGGTTGCGGGACGTACTGGTCCGATGCTGGCGGCTTGTCTTGCCATGCCTGGCCTTTGGCAAGCTAAGGTGTCGACAAAGCGGAAAGGTACTACAGCACAGGCAAAGACGGCCACTTTCAGCCATTCGGCTTCATGAGAGGGGGTGCTACCTTCGGTTCGGAGCTTCCGTTTCCAGTCTTGCAGCAAGTGTCTGGCGACCCGCACTTGAAGGTTGTTGAGTCATTAAATCATCGGCAATAGCACGGCACCGGCACCAGCACCACGGCTGTGATTGGCCGTGCACGATGAATCCTGGGCTATGGGCGCAGTGCGGAGATGTGCCAAGAGCGCCCATCCCGGCTGTCCAGCTGTGACCTTCAAGACACATCACCTACTACTCAATCACTACTCCTCTACATGCCAGCACATCTAAATGCATTTTTTTTGGGACGTTGTTGTGCCCTAAGTATGGCTGCTGTTGCTGAGTTTCGTGTTTGAGGCTCGGCCTTGTGGGTGAGGACCAGAGGCCTCGCTTCTCGTGGCTCGGAGAAAAGATGACGCACAGCAGTACACCAACAACGCAAACGGACATGTCATCGTATCAGTTTTTCCTGAGGCTTCATAAGAGCCCTAGCGCATCGTCGCCATCATCACCATCATCAAAATCATGAGAGCTGGTAGGCATCGTGTTCAACATTGTTGCATTCCTAACAGCAGTGAAGTGCAGGCGGTTGTAGCATAACTGCCCGGATTTGTGGTTGCGGTTCGGGGCTGTGATGGTTTAGTTTAGGGAGGGAGCAGCTTTCGGGGTGCTCTCTGGGGGGCTTCTGTGGTTGGGCGTGGCTGAGGCTGCCGCCCCCTCCTTCCAAGGTCGAAGCGAGACCAGAGGCAGCCTAAGCTTCGACACGCCATGCTCTAGAAAGTAGATGGCATCGGGCGGCAGGTATCGAGTGGCGTGCCCGCTGCAGCGCAACGGCGGCCACGATACTCGGAAGTTCGGAGGATCGAGACCTTGCTCTGTGATGGATCCTACCGTTTTGAGAAGATGCCGTGACACCATGAGGAGCATGGCCGGTCCGAGACGGGTAGGGAATGCTCAGACAGCAGACTCCAGCCGTGGCGGGCCAAGCCTCTTCGTCGGTGGGATTGCGGAGCCTACAAGCAGCATGGCATTTCGTCAGGCACCGCTGATGCTGCCGCTGATGATTTGGCTGTGCTGTCTAGGACTGACAGTTGGAGCAGTGCGCGCAGAGTCTTTTGCCGTGCCGAGCAACCTATGGATTTGTCACGTGTTTTGGAGCATTTTTCGAAAAAGTAAAGACATACAGATCGCACAGCGTGTTGGCACTTACCAAACAACACATGTGTTTTGCAGGAGCAACAGTGTGGCAAGCCGGGTTCTCATGCTTTGTAAGCATCTGATGCGCTACCGTTTGTGCACGGATGGCGAGGTGTCCAGACATTTCAGACAGCACAAACGACAGCAGAAGCAGCGCAAGTTGCGTTGGACTCCTCGAGCCGTGCTTCCTCCCGGCCACGGTACTCGGAGCTTCGAAAGGCACGGGCGTCGGCACTTCGGCTGAAGTTCCTCTCACCTCCCCCGTAAAGCGATGTCCGCATCTCAGGGGTTCTGAAAGCCGAGGCAGTCCTTGCCGGACAGAGCGCTGAAGCCGTGGAGGCCAACACTTTTCAGTCCGTGGAAGTGTGGCGTGGATGGGCTGCGGAGCAGGCGTCCGGTGCCAGCTCCGTGAGCAACACAGGCAGGATACCGGATGCCTGCTCCCACTGTGCCGATATTGATTTCCATTCCGATCACTCTAATGCTGCGGTAAATCTCGCAACTGCTACTCTTGTTGATCCATCTGTTCACGTCATAGCAAGTGCCTTCGTCGTTGTCGTCGTCGTGGTTCTTGTTCTTGTCGATGTTGTACCTCTTCGTAGTCTCGTTCTTGTTCGATTTCGCGTTGGCATTCTTGTTCGTGTTCTTCTTCTTCTTCTTCTTCTTCTTCTTCTCTGATTTTCCTTCTTATTGTGGTTGCTGTTGCTGTTGCTATTATTGCTGTTGCTGTGGCTCTGCGGCTGTGTCTGTGTCTGTGTCTGTGGCCGTGGCCGTGGCTGTTGCTGTTGTTGTTGTTGTTGTGGTGGTGGTGGTGGTGGTTGTGGTCCTGGTGGTGGTGGTGGTTGTGGTTGCTCCTGCAGCTCAGTCATTTGTGGAAGTGCCAGTCGCTGACATCTCGCCGCGACCGCGGCCTACCATCAGTGCGAAAGCTGACGAGGCACGTGGCGTGCGTTTTGTTGCGCAGACTACATATTCCTTGCATTTGTGACTGGTGCTGGCACCGGGTAGTGTGCGGCAAGGCAGCCAGTGGGAATGGTCACAGCCTCCAACCGCAGGCAATTATTGGGTCTGCACAGGCGAAGGAGCACAGACCGGCATGCATTGGTCGAACGGATTCTCTTTAATTTGCAGTCTGGATGTTGAGAAACGAGCCTGTGACAGGCCCGGAGGAGGTGCCGCGGCCCAGGGGTGTTGCCTATTTGGACGTTTGAAGTGTCCAGAGTTGACCAATTGGCGAGAGATGACTTGCATGATTGGGATGATGCCTCGCCATCTTTCCCGCTCCGAATTCTCACTACTACCATGAGCAGACCGGCACTATTGTAGCCCTTGCTATTGCTCAGTGTAGCTATCTTTCTGCTGACCAGTGGGTTGCAATCGTCGTTGGCCATCGTTGGTCTCACTAGTATCATGCATTGATGATACTACTGCCTAGGTAGCTAGAGGATATTCCTGGCTGTCTGTGAAGTCGTTTCGGTCTCCGAGGTATTCCGAGCAGCGCCGTGCCTCACGCAGCCCTGCCAGGCCAATTTGATCGATGGCCGTGAAGCATGACTCATCGAAGCTAAGCTTGACTCGGGTGCATGCTGCAAGATCGGTTGTGAGGCAGAGCGGCATGGACACCGAGGAGGCCAAGGGACTGAACAAATTGTTGGGTTGGCCGAGACGGGGGAAGTGCTTGTGAGTGCAGTGGCGGGCTTTTCCTAAGAAGCAAGTGAAGCACTGGAGCCTTGAGCTATCAGCTATCATGTCCTGCGCAGGGGGCGGCGGGGACGACAGCGGGTCGTTCAAGTTGTCCTCCCTCCAAACCAGCTGGGCCAACAGCAGAAGAGTTCTCACAGCTCTGCCGACGATTGGAGACTCTCGAGAAATCTGGCTGCAGAGTTTGCTTTGTGTGCCAGGGCAGCATGCCCTGGCCCCATAGGGTTGGAGTTTGAGGTGGAAATGAGAAACTCGAAGAACTTTACGGGATGCCAGTCTTCGGACCGGACCAAGGCGTGATACGGCTTCACTGGCGGGCCAACTTCAGAGCTTCCGGGAAGAAAGCCTTTCGGAGCCTGGGCTATCCTGGGCTGCGATCGCACCGTGGATCTCCTCGCGCTGTCTTGCAGCCTGCAAAGCCTTGCAGCCTGTTTGCATCAGGACATGCAGACGTTGCGGGATCAAGGCCGCCAACAGGCCGGCAACATATGCTCTTCTACTCCAGCCCCCTACGTAGCAGCAGCTTCTTCGTGCAGGCTGAGGCTTACGAGCGACATTGGCGTGATGAAACGCGAAGGCGGTCGCCGGCCAGAGCACAGTGCGACATTTCTTTACGTCAGCAGATACATGCAAGCATGCAAAACCGCTTGTGAGATATTGCAAGTATCCCAGACTGCACATGGAGGAACCATTTCTTGGAAATAAACAAGTCCTGCAGAATTCCGTTCATCCAGTCAATTTCGTGAAAGTGATCATGGTCGGGTAGGACCGCACGAACGGCACAGCAGGCACCTCGAGGCCTGTGAGGAGCACCTTCGCCAGCGCTTCCGAGAAGAGCACCTCGGTGAGATATTCCAGACTTCGGCAGCAAGTTCGGGCCATGCGTGTTCTCCCCCTGGCTTTTGAGGAATCGGCAGCAACTGGAAGCCACCGAGCGACGGATCTTCACGAATGCCCCTCGAATCCATATATTGTCATAGGAATCATGAGCTGCCCCCCTTTTTTTGCAGACCTTGCGCCCTCTTTAGGTGATGCAGGAGTTTGAGGGCCAGCTCCGTGGGGCTGTGGCGAAGCTTTGTGCCTCGCCGCAGTCTCCGCAGTCGCAGTTCGAAGCGGAGGAGCCGGAGCAGGAGCCAGGGCCCCAGGCCCCAGTAGGCGGCGCCGAGGCAAGAGCCGAGAGAGAGAGCGGGCTGTCGTAGCGGCTTTCAGGTACGAGACGCCCACGCCCGGCCCAGAGGAAACCATCCGAGTTGAGAAGAAGGCCTTTGACATCTCGCGGGCCGAGCTGGCTGACTCCGCCGCTTTGCTCAAGATTCTCAAGGTGTTGCAAAACACAGGCACGAGTCAGCAGCGAGTCTTTTTCTGAAGGAGCTCAGCTTACAGACTATTGGCTCCATCGCACGACGGGTATCCGCATCTTTGGGAGGAGAGAGCAGGCCCTCGGCTGTGAAGTTTGAAGGAGCTGATTTGTGATTCGCCTGATGACCTGAAAGATCCGCGGCAAGTTCCAGCGCGCCCAACAGAGCCTTTGCGCAAGATTGGCGAGCAGGAGGATCGTTGCAAACCACTGGGAACAACAGCTGAGTTGGTTGGTGTGCTGAGATCGAAGGCATGCAACCCAGGCGAGAAGGACGCGATGTGCTAACTGCGTCAACAGACAACGATGGAGCCTCTCAACCTAAGGAGATGCTGCCGACAAGCGAGCTCATCAGCAAGCGCACAGGTTGGCCCTTCAAATCGGGCCATGCTTGCGAAGCTTCGTACAGTTTGCTCCAAGCTAGTTGCGACTCTCCTCCGCGTACGAGTCGACTTTCGGCACACGCCTCTGCAGTCATCCAGGCTTCCGTCGAGCCGGAACGACCGAAGCCCGCGGACCGAGCCTAGTTTCGAGCAGCTGGAGCAGGCGACGTCACTGCTTGCCATCTTTGTGATCTGCCGAGCTCTGGATCAGTCTCAGCCTGCATGTTGATGTTGAACCCGGATGGATGCAGCTTTGGAGTGTTATGACCAGGAAATGGAGAGGCTTGCAGATATGAGACGCTACGCATCACAAGTGTGACCTTGGCCGCATCTAAGTCGGTACAAGATTGCCGCAATCTTCCACTACAACAGACACAAGCTCGAAGTGCCAGGCTGGGGGCGAAGTCGCAGGAGCTCACAGGCGCGAAGAGTTTGATGAGACGGTGCAAAGTCACAAGTGACAGATGGATGCCAGTGTGTACATCTCGGCTGGTGAGGCTCTCGAGTGACGGCAGGATCAGCTTCGCAGCCCTTCGACGCGTGGCAAGCCGCAGAGGACGAGCTTCCAAGCAGAGATGTGGAGCTGCTCTCAGAATGAGTCCGCTTACACATGAAACTTTGCATAGCTACATATGTCGGCAAATGTGCATGCAGACGTTGGCTGTGGATGTATGTTTTGTCTTCGAATCTGTCAATCATTGTGTTGTAGACACAAGCGCGGGCAGTCGTTTGGGCTTTGACAGTCCATGTGCCTTCGGTTCGTTTCGGAGTTGAAGGCTGGGACACTTCGAGCGCGTACGGGCAAGTTGTACGTTGGCCTTATTAGCGGTCATTAGCGACAGCCGGGTGACGAGGTGAGAGACAGACAGGTTGGTTGATTTATGTATTCTAGGGCTCTTGTGCCAGAACCTTCATGTACCTTCGGCAAGGGACGGGTCAAAACCTCCTTGATTCCCTAATTTCAGCTGTGCTCGGAGTCGCCTTCATTTGAAAGAGAGGAAGGGTCAAACTGTACACACTCGACCTCTGCACAGGCGTGGCAGAACTCATCGGAATCCAATCTTCAGCCGGATCAAGACCGGCCAACCTACAGTCACACGAATCAGCAGGAGCACGATGCACCTGCCTCTTAACTGTGTCGAAGAAGGAGAAGAAGGGACATACATAGTCCCGCGCCCAGCTTCTCGAATAAACGGAGATGGAGAAAATCGTTCTCTAGAGTTGGGGAATGCCTCAGAAACCAGACGGCTGCTCTACAGTCCGGGAGGACAACTCGTTCATGGTCAGGGGGTTGGGCGGGAAATTCATGGCCTCCAGCGTGCCTGTGCCACCATCATCGAGAGTGGGACCCATGCGAGAACGGGACACGCGGCGAGCAGCAGGAGAAGTAGGCGCAGATTAGCCTTCTTTGTTTTGAGGGGGGGGTTGTCGGCAGCTTCAAGACGCTGCCTTAGATCTCTCCGCGTTGTCGTTTCGTCCGCACCATTGGGGCTTTGTGTTCTCGCGGACCCGTCGAGTTTTGGTCATTGCAGTGTACAGGCGAGCCGACAAGTGTTGTAACTTAGATCTTGTAGCTCTACGAATGTGCATTTCGCACCACCATCTTTGCGCAATGTCGGTGGACCGCACTCGCGTTACACATGCCATTGAATATTGCAATAAGTCCTTGTGTGCTGATACCGGGTTTACCGGGTATTCTGCGGTAGGCACACGCATTCTCAGAGGAGCGATGCATCTGTTTTGGCCAGACATCTTTTTGCAAATTGTTCCTGGTTTCTCTCTGTCCCTGACCTGGGCCCTAGGCAAGTGTGGGCTGTAAAAGCAATTCGGACAACTTGTTCCAGCAGGAGAGTCCCGGCCGGGAGATCAAGGAGGCGCATGCGCGGCGCCGGACCATGCCGGCCGCTGCTCCATCTCCAACGCAACCTGCCGGAACCGGACCCGATGCTTTACACACAGGCCACGCAGAACAGAGCCGGCAGGATCGGTTTTGGGTGCCAAGGTTTGGCCGCCCAGAAACTCCTGGGCGGACCACCAGCGCCGAGCGGTGGAAGTCCGGAGCCTCGGAGTTGGCCGCAGCTTTGCTCCTCTTCTAGCTTTCTTACGAGGCGCAGATCGTCCCTTCAGCCAGAAGGGGCTCCTGCCTGCCCATGGGAGGCGTGGATTTCGTCTGTGTTAGCTGAGCTTCCATTTGCCTTGTAGAGGAGGAGCAGCTCCCAGCCTCACGAGTTCAATGGGCTGTGCCCTGGCTTAAGGCGTAAGCTTTCCGGTGTAGCTTTGTTTTGGGATTTTGCGATGTCCGGCCGAGGATTGGCAGGTGGACAGTCAAGGACGGCTCATCTTTTAAAGACTACGTTAGTGATGCGGTCCCAAACATGCCGTTTGGGGAGGTCCGCAGAAATTCGCCACACGAAATGCCGGGATTTCTCGGCCCATGGGTTCAGAGACGAGCCCGCGGAAAAAAGCGAGGCCCGGATCCTTGCTCAGCAGCTGAATCTTCCAATAAGAGATCGGGCTGGATTCTGGCATTCTGCAGCTCGTCTGCGAACCTATCGGAATGGCGCTGTAGGAAAATGAGGTTAGGATGTGAGGCAACTCTCTGACAGCGAAAGCAATAGTGGTAGGGAGACGTGTCCATGGATTGGAAATAGCTGCTAGATTCGGCACATGCCTCAGATCCTGTTTGCGCAGTCTGTCCGGTGCCCTTAGTGCTGAAAGCAGCTGCTGGGCTGACTGGATTTGAAGGCTTAGATCCGTCAGTCGGCAGTGGGACTGCGACAGTAGCAATGCTGTGCTCTACTGCGCGGCCAAGCCACCCTTTCGCTTGCAAAAAGAAAGTTCGATTGCACTTCAGCGGGACATACTGGGTAAGTCAACAAACGGAGAAGTTGCGCCGAGGTCCGTGCTCAAAGCGCAGCTTGTGTCGCGAATGAGCCAGTTCCAGTTACAAAACGTGCCGTGGCGAGTCAGATCGTTTCAGGGATGCCCGGATGCCTTGTTGACTCAGGTCATGAACACCACCTGGGCTTTCGCCAAACTCAGCTGTGCCGATGCCGACCTCATGGCACTCTACTCGGCTTGCAAGCCCGTACGATTTCCTGAGCACAGCATGAGCAACCGGGCATCTGTGGCACTTCTCGTTTTCGGCTCAAGCACCGGCCCGCGTGAGGCAGCCGGCGCAAGTCCAGCATGTCTGCCATCTATGAGAACCTGAGGCAGCTCATCACCGTAGTAGATGAGCTGCGAGATGTGGGCCTACAGCACTACATCAGCCTTCCTCGGATAGCTGCAATCGGGACTCAGAGCAGTGGCAGCTCGGGCTTGCAGCGTAAGACTTGCCGGAGGTCTAGACGGGTCTGTCTGAGCATGCTTGGATGTTCCTTGCTTTCCGTTGAAGCAGTATTGCTGTCAATCCTTGTCCCTTCGTGTTCATGTCTAGCTTTCATTTCTAGCCTCAGCAAGCAAGGAAAGAGTTCTCTGATTGAGTCCATCGTTGGCCTGGACTTTCTGCCGCGAGGAGGGGGGGTTGTCACGCGACGTCCTCTGGAGTTGCGCCTCGTGCACTTGAACTCACAAGAGTACGCGGAAGATAAGGCTTGGGCTGTGTTTGACAAGGTGCTTGGCCGCAGGTTTTGCAGAGCTTTTTGTTGTAACATGGGAGTCAAGATTCCCTGTCGAGATATAATCAACATACCCCGCCATAGAGATCGGAAAGGGTTGTAGATGCATGCTCTTTTCCTCGAGCCATTGGCTCAACGAAGGTCGGAGATAAGAAGTTCACCAACTTTGATGAGGTCAGACAAGAGATCGAGCGCCAGACGGATCAAGTCGCAGGCTCGAACAAGGGGATCGTCAATGACCCCATCATCCTCACGATCTATGCCACAGGGGCACCGGACCTGACACTTATTGATTTGCCGGGGGTTACCAGGGTGCCGGTCAAGGGCAGTGACCAGAAAGAGGATATTGAGAAGCTGACGAAGGACATGACGCTTCACTACATCAACGACCCTCGCACGATTGTCCTGGCAGTGCTGCCGGCCAATCAAGACATGTCCGTTTCGGACAGCCTCCAGCTGGCCCGCCAGGTAGATCCACAGGGCCTGAGATCCATTGGTGTCATCACGAAGATCGATATCATGGATCAAGGAACGGATGCAGCAACCATGCTAAGAGGTGAGGATGTGCCCTTGCGCCTTGGCTATGTCGGTGTCAAGATGCGCAGCCAGCAAGACATTGCGAACAAGAAGCCGGTCAAGGACTCCCTTAAAGACGAGAAAGAGTGGTTCGACAACCACCGAATCTACGGCAAGCTGCCCCCAGGCATGATTGGGACCCCCGTCTTGATCGACAAGCTGACGCAGATTCTCTTCAAGCACATTCGAAGGTTTCTGCCCGAAATCAAGAAAGAGATCAACGAAAAGCGCAGATCTGTCCAAGATCGCTTGGACGAACTTGGAGAGGGAGTGCCGCTTCAAACCGGGGAGAGGGTTCAAGTGATGTGGACTTTGGTCACAGACTATTGTGAGATGTTCAAGAACACAATCAGAGGGAAGTATGACCGCAAGCTGCAGCGTTACATGTGCAACCTCACCGGGGGTGGTGCGCAAGGAGGTTCGGGTGGCGCAAAGATTCGCACCATCATGAATGACTTCTTGATTGACTTCATGGAGACGAAGATCACGTCTGACATGTCAGATGATGACATTGACAAGGCCATTCGCCTGCATGAAGGTGACTCATTGCCAGGTTTTCCTTCGCCGGACACCTTCGAGTTCTTGGCACTTCCACACCTGCAAAAGCTCGCGATTCCGTCGGTGGAGTGCGTGCACAACATTTCCGCAGCACTCGATGTACTGTCGCAGCGCATGGCGCATGCGGTGTTTCGCCGGTTCCCGAAGATGGCAGAGTCTGTCCTCAACCTGACACAGAACATCATCCAAGAGCAGAAGGATGAGACCCGCCGGATTGTGGAAGAGCAGATTGCGTGTTCCATTGGCTACCTCTTCACAAACGACCCGAACTACTTGATCAACCATGGTTCCATGGAGCCTATGTACGAGCAACAGCAGCAGAAGCCACCGCCTCCAGTTGAGGAGGAAAAGAAAGAGCCAGGAATGGCAGAAAAAGTGAAAGATGCGACGAAGCAGGGGTATCAAAGCGTGAGCAGCACAGTAAGCTCCATGTTGAAGAAGACGGAGGCCCAAAGAAAACAGCAGCGGTACAGTGGGCCTTTCGTTGCTGAGATTCGAAAGCGGTTGGATTCCTACTTCGAGCTTACGGTGAGAAACATCAGAGATTCCATTCCAAAGGCGATTGGCTTCTACCTCGTTAGAGCAGTGCAGGACAAGCTACAGTTTGAGCTTCTCAACGCTTTAAATCACCCAGACAAGTTGTCCGAGCTCCTCGGAGAGCCTCCCCACATAGTTGAAGAGAGGCGCACATTGAACAATCAGCTGCAGGTCTTGATGAAAGCAAGCTCCGTCTTGACGAGAGACCCAACTCTCGCAGCCATCGCCTTCGAGGCAGAGGACGAGGCGGCGGCCAGCCCCAGAGCCTCTCCTGCTCCCTCCAAACCTATGCCATCTGCAGCCAGTGCAGGCGCAGGCCCTACAGTGCCCGTCTCCACCATGCCCTCCATGCCGCCCTCGGCCAAGCCGGCTGTCTCAGTTCCGGCCCCAGCCCCGAAGCCAGCAGGATCCACGAGCCTCTTCGGGGCTTCGTCTGCGCCACCGCGATCGTCGCTTTTTGAGGAGGGACAGCCGAAGAAACCTGCAGCCAAGAACCCTTTGTTTGGTGATAGTTAGGCCAGTGCGGCTAGTTACGCCTTGCTGTTTTCCCCGCCTCGCCATGGCGGTAAGACCTAGTGCACGAATTGCTTCGATAAGGACATGTGTTTAAAGAGCACGTGTTGGTTTTGCACACACCCGCTTCGCGACATGGGGCCAAAAACAGAGACACATGTGCTGCAAAGCTGGCTGACGCCGCGCCCTTGTCCTCTCCGATGCTATGGCAATCGAACATAGGTTCTCGGTTAGGTACAGACGAGCTTTACACGAATCTCGCTTGAGCTCTCCTCTGCTCTCCAATTTGCTTTGCTTCCTGGTTGTTTGCCGCCGCTCTTATCGCACCAGCTCTGCAGCAAGGCTCGCTTCACGTCTGAGTTGATGCGCCGCGATCTGGCAGCTGGTGACCTCACGGTGCGGGATGTCCTTCAACATGTTGTCGAGCATGTGCCCTTCACGGCCTAATTGAGTAGAGTGGGCTGTGATTCGATGCCTCCTTCTCTGACATGAAATCGGTGGATTTTGCCTGTAGATTCTTCAGCTTTGAGTACTGGGAGGTTCTTGGCGGTGTAATCGAAGACTCTGGAAACTGAATTGCAGGTTGCAGCATGGTGCTGTGCTAGCGCGGAGCACCTCAACGAGCACTTCCTCCAGAAGCTGGCGTCTGCAGCTCATTGTCGACGGAATTTTCGGGTTTCGCTCTCCAAAATGGCACCGGAAGACCTGCCCCTCCGCCAAGGAAAGATATCCTGATGAAGCTCCCGGACATGGGATACCAGGCCAGGTTGGCAAGAGACAGCTTCGATTCAACAAAAGCAGCAGTGGCAGCCTTGGAAGAGTGTCCCAACTGCCTGCCAGTTGGAGAAAAGTTCTTGCAACATTCGCTTGACTCTGGACTAGGGTCGTTCCGACAGGACTTGGCCAACGTCTCGTGGGCCTTTGCGAAGCTCAGCGTTCAAAACGATGAGCTGTTCGAGGCAGGTACCGGATGGGATGGCAGTATTCGTTGTTACATGGTGGCTCTCGGCCTCACCAAAACCAGAGTGCGCTGTACCATCCATGCGCCTGCAGGCCATAGCCGAGGAGGTCGTGCGGAAACTGCAAGAGTGGGTGGCCCAGTCTCTTGCGAGTCTGGGTTGACCTCGGGTTCTTGGACCCGAGGTTTGAGCCACAGAACCTGGCCATTACAGCGTGGGCTGGGGCCTTGTTAGCTGCTAGTAGCAGTGCAATCGCAACTTCCGATACCGGGACCGCCTGCGAGTCTCGAAGTCTCGATCGACGAGGCTTTTGCCACTTTGGCCCGCACAGAGGAGAGCATGTTCCAGGCAGCCTGCTCTTTATCTGTGTGCGATGTTGCAGTGTGATGCCAACCCCCCTGCCTCGTAGACTTGCGGAAGACTCCAGACCGTCACTTCATCAGGCAATTGCAGCCGAGTCTCAGCGAAAGATCGCCAGATTCGATCCGCAGTGCCACTTTGACAGAAGCTGATGCGCTAATGCGACTGCAAAATTCAGCTCCTTTTCCCGAGGCTGCGCGAACCTCCTCTACGCTTTCGGCAAACTTGCAGTAGGGGCATCCCAGACAGCTAGCGGGGGTTCAAGCGACAGTGATGACAGCTGTGGCGCCGCCTTCGTCTGTATTGCGCAAGGTGCAAGATGAGAAGCTCTTGGAAATGGTGGTGAGTCGTGTCGAGAAGACTGCGGACAGGCACAGGAAGTGTCTCACAACACTTCTGGTGCTGTTCCACGGTGCTCAGGTTCAAGATGCTGGAACTCTGCAACGCTGCCTGGGGGATTTCAAAGATGTCTTTTCCAGTGGATAAGATCGACAAGGGTATGCAGGCCAGGCTCAGCATTCCGACTCGGCGAGAATGCTGCTGTGCAAGGCTGCTGCCATTCGTGTATTTTGCAAGCAGTCGGCCAGATGCCGCACATGCAGCCTTGGGGGCAGCTACCTTCAGACTTACATGCTGACACGGAGCAACTCCCGCAGCTAAATGAAGGTGAAGGTGCAATCACGTGGAAGCTGGAAGCAGACTGTAGAGAAGCTGTTCTTGCAGCGATGATCAGTTCATGTGACATGCAGATAGTGGCATGGCCGATGCATGGGGGATGCTTGTGACTTGGACGAGCTCCTGGATGCGGCAAGGGATGGGAATCTCTCCAAGGCCGCCGAAGCATTGAAAGCACATACCCCGGGATTTTGTTCTTGAGCTTGTGTTGACCAGAAGATAGAGTTATATGTCTTGGCCAAGCAGGCTACGGAAATTCTGGAAACCAGCCAGACAAATATCAGGCAGGTCAGAGATGGGTTCGGGTCCTCTTCGATCAGTTTTTGCTGCCATCGGTTTCAAAAGCCAGGCATTTGCTCCAACATGCCGATCTCGAGCGCTGGACGCCATTGCATTTCGCAGCAGGCAACGATCATGGAGAGGCCGTCGCCTGATGTCAGTCGTACCTGAAGTGGGAGGCTGCTGCTGACCCTCTACCCCTCAAAAAAGTGATGTTTCAATCAACGCTGCGTTATGCCCCGGCAGGCTTTCGCAGATTGCATGCGTCCGTGCCGGGGTAAACCCCAACGTATTTTGCCCTTCGCAAGGCCATTTATGGCTCAGGTTTAGCTGCCGTGCTGATTTCGCACCCATGATCAACCTAGGTCAGCTTTGCATAGAAGCCTTTTGTGTCCGGAACTTGAAGCATCGGTAGCCCCAGAGCGGGTTGCCAGCGAGCAGCCGCTGGACCACACACCCCCCGAAGCGAGAGCGTTTTTTGTTGAAAACTCGAAGGTACCCTGTCCCTACACTTACAGCCCGAACTTGGGGGACCACACAGAGCATGGCCCGCCCACCAGCTTCCGATGGTGCTCGTTTTGAGGATATCCGTTCAAAGCTGAATCGCTTGAACTACACGCAGCCGCTTGGGGAGGTTTCTCTAGCGCTCGTCGAGAAGTTGCTGGAAGACCTCCTGAAGTCTGCAGATTCCTATCGCATCTTGGAGAACGACGTGAAGGGTCATGAGCGCCAGATCGACGAGGTGGAAGACGAGCTCCATGTTCTGCAACGGGAACAGCCGGAGCTTCTCCTTGAAAATGTGGAGCTTCACAAGCGAGTGCTGAAGGAAAGTACGGAGATGGCTGCAAGACGGCGGCAGTGGGCTGCCCGGCAGACCGTCAACGAGAAGGAGCTGCGAAGGCTACGAAGCTTGCAACATTTGCAGGTACATCAGAGCCAAGAGCTTCAAAGCTCCCTGGAGCGTCTCCGAGCTCGGATGGCAGAGAACAGGAAGACCTCCAGAGATGACAAAAGCGGAAAGTCCAGGACCATCGTGATGAGAGGCCCCCCTCCTGCACCGGGGGCGCGACCGAGACTCGTGGATGTCGGTCGCATCGAGGGTCCGCGAGCTGAGGGCCCGGCTCTTGCGAGCCACGTGGCTTTTGTCGCCGAGCAGCTCGGTGAGTCACGTCGACGCCTGACGGAGGAGGTCCGTTCGCTGAAAGCCGCAGAGGCCAAGGAAGAAGTCGCTGCAGAGGAACTAAGTAGGGCCCGAGCCCGCGCTGCTGAGCGGGAGGGGCCTTCCGAGAATCCCGACGACGTCACCGACGAGGTGAAAGTGCTGCGTGACGAGGAAGCACGTGCTGCCGCGGAGGCGGCAGAGCTGGAAACCGAGTGCAACACTCTGAGGCAGCGCGGGCTTCGGCTGAGCACCGAGGCGGATGCGGCCGAGGCCCTAATGGTGCAACGACGAGGCCTGTTGCAACACGTGCAGCAACAGCGGGATGTGGCCAAAGAAGCGGCGACCCGGCTGGAGCTCGGAACGTCGGATCCGGCATTCGCCGGCCTCACCCGCGAGCTCAACGAGGCACGGCGAGCCTCTTCGAAGACCAAGTCTGAGGAGGTTGCCATCCGTGAGGCATTGGCCATGCTGCGAGAAAACCTCGAGGCCGAAGAAGCGAGAGGTGAAGCAGAAGCCAAAGAGCACGCAGTTCAACAGAGCCGGCTTCTTGAGGAGCTGGCTGCAGCAGAGCAGAGCAGGCCGGCTCAGAAGATTGCCTCATTGGAGGCGGCGCATGGGAGCGCTGTGCATCGTGCTGCCAAAGGCTCTTCGCAGCGTGCCGGCCTGGCAGCAGAGCTCGCAAGGCTTCGGGCACACCGAGTGGTGCAGCGACGTCTTCTCGCCACTGCAGAAGCGGAGGTGGAGGCATCCCAACGTGCCGCTTCGGCGACTGCTGCCGAGGCGCAGATGGAAGACACTCAGCGCCGTCTTCTCTCCGAGGTGCTCCAGGGCGCTCAAGGCGAGGCCGACGCTCTGCAGGTCTACTTGGAGACGGCCACCAGCGAGCGCCTGGCAGCTTCCGAGGAGGTGGCGGCTGCACGGCTGCTAGAGTCGTCCTGGCGCTCGGCGGCGCAGGCACGGCAGGAGGCACAGCTACGTCTGTCCAAAGAGCTGCAGTCGGCACGCGTAGGCGCCTCAGAAGCAGAGGCCAAGCGCACGGAGACGCGTCGAAAGGAGGAGGCGATTTCCTCTGCATCGGCAGTGCTTGGCCAACGTTTGGCTGCAGAGCAGGCGGAGCTTGCGGAAGCCCAGCACAGCTGCCGTGATCTCTCGTCTTCCCGGGCACGGGCCGCACAGGAGTTGGATGAGGTCCGAGGCCAATGCCAGTCGGAGGAAGCGAGCATTCGTCGCTTGCAGCTTCAAATGACAAGCTTGGGCTCTACTCTTCGAAGCCAGGAGGCGTCGACTTCGGAGGTCACAGCGCAGCTTGCAGCTTTGAGGCTTGAGCTGGGACAGCGCCAGGACACCCTTCGCGAGATGGTGAAGGAAGAGTCCGAAAGCCAGGCCGGCGTATGGGCCGCGCGTCGCGAGGGCGAGGCTGCCGAGGCACACGCAGAAGCACTGCAGGGCCGGATTAAGGCAGTCTCGGACTCGGAGAGCCAAATGGAAGAGGTGCTGCGTGAGCTTGAAGCGGCTGCGGCTTCGCGAGATCGACAGCGGGCAGCACTCGAAGAACGGCGCCATAGCTTCCAGGCCGAGTTGGCTGAGTGCTTGGCCGAGATTGCAGAGGAGGAACGTCGCTCTGCGGCTACCAAACATGGGCCCGGCTCGGTGCGGATGCGTCTCGAGGAGCTGGAAGAAGAGTCCAGGCGTCTGCGTGGCACCATTTCTGGTTTGGAGGCGCACCAGGTGGAGCTTGTGCAGATTTCTGACAGAGCCGAAGACCGGCTTGGACCCTTGCGTGCGGAAGCTGCGCGGGTCCGAACCCGACGAGGTGAAGTCCAGTGGACCTTGGATCAACTGCGCCGCCGGGTCGCTCGCCAACATGGCGAGCTCGTGAATTCTACGACAACCGTGGCGGCCACGAGCGACGTGATACGAACTGTGGAGGCTGAGGTTCAGTCAGCGCAAAGTGAGCTCTCCGAGCGCATGCATGAGGTCACGCTGGCTCTGGATGATCTGATGCACATGACTGCAGAGAACCAGCTCCTCCATGAGCAGTTGCAGCGATGTAAGAGCCATCGCGATCGCTTGGCCCATTCGCTTGAGGAGCAAGATTCACAACAGCTTCCCATGATGCAGGAGCTACGTGGGCATGAGTTTTTGCGGGATACCGTGCTTCGAGCTTATCAGGAGGCCATTGATGAGCGCCAGCGAAAAGAAGTGGCAGTCTCTGAAATGTCCAAGCAGGTGGAGAATTCTTTCGAAGAGGTGAACGGCTTGAAGCAGTCCTTGGAAGCCTTGCTCCACACGGAGGATGTGGCCAGATCTCAGCTCCAAAGCGGCGACTCTGAGCTCGCAGTCCTGCGTGCGAAGATGAGCGATGCCACGCAAGTCCTGGAGATGCAAGAGTTTGCCTCGGAAGAGCTACGGGTGGAGAGTTCACGGCTGCGGCTGGCGGCAAGCTCGCAGCAGGTTGCCATCAACGAGGCCGTTTTGAGCGCCGCAGCGGTAGCGGCACAGGCGGATGCCTTGAGAGCAGAGGTGCAGTCCTTGCAGCACGACCTGGAGCAGGCCCGTGGCCACCTGGCAGACGGGCAGCTGCAGAGGAACGAAGCTCTCAAGAGCAAGAGCAAGCTCGAGGACTTGCTTTCGACACAGCGGCAGATGCAGTTACAAAAGGAGGCTGAAATCCATGCCCTGCGGGGCACAGTTGATGCTGCACCGGCCGAAAATGGAAAGAACCTGCAGCAGATGCTTGAGCGCCTGCAGCGGCTGAAAGGTTTCATGGGCACCGAGCGCGGGATTTTTGCAGCGGAGGTGGAGCGCTTGTCCACGGAGCTGCGAAGCTTTCAATCTGCATCGGATTCTGGGCACTAGCTCGTCCCGCATGCGGTCATGGAAAACGGCTGTATGTGTTTCGGTCAGGAGCTATGTGCTTAAGTTCATAGTTGTGGAACTCTAACAAGGGTAAGACTCCAGCTTTCTTGGTCTCGTCGTTTGTCCACACATGCCACACCACGGAATATGTTCGCAGGTGGCGGGCATTCTGCTCGAATACCGTGCAGACGCCCTGGCCAAGACATACAAGGGCCACGGACTCAGATGGGATCTCTCCATCCGCCACAGTTTGTGATGTGCTGACCGTTTCTTCATTCATAGCCTGCCAGGCGACACGCCCTTGCATTGTGGTTGCCGGCACGATGCGGCGAATTCCGTGCAGCGGCTTCTTACAAAGTCCTAGCGAGGTGCCCTCATTTGCGCAGCACATGCCACAAGTAGGACACGATGCTGTCGCAATGTTCGAGCTTTGCCGGCACAGTAGCGCAGCATGTTTCCAAAACGAGTACACACAACAATCTAGTTTTCGTATACGATACCTGTAACTGAGGTATGTGTATATATATATATATACACACACACATATATATATATATATGTATATGCACATACATGCATACATGTATACATAGGTATAAGTCAATAAATAAGTAAATATAGATATATGCATATGTAGATAGAAGGATATTGTTGCACATCTGCATGTGCTTCGTTCCGTGCTGCTTCGCGGTGTTACTTCCAGCTCCTGGCCGTTCACAGAAGTTCATCCCCAGGCTTCGCCAGACATGGTGACAGACCGCAGCAGAACCGGCAAGGAAGCACCCCATCATGGATTGAGCCTCCAACATTCTCGATGAAAGAGCTTGCCTGCCAAAACACTTCACGGATCCTTCCGAGTACCACTTGCAGTTCAATGGAATTTCTGTCTGGTACGGACCAACAAGCGGGGGCATGCGCAAAGAATCTCCCGGCGAGGCACCGTCGAACTCCTGCAAGCTTCGGCCTCATCGAGAGAGCGGGAGCAGGGGGTACAGTAGTTACGGGTTATTACTAACAGTGCCTGACAACCGAGGCCACCAACCGGCACTACGAGACTGCGCTTCACGTGGCAGTCGTGTCAGCCTCGCCACAGCTTTGGGCCAGCCTGGTAGATGCGGTCAAGGCATGGCCCCGTCATGTTAATGATAATTAAGACAAATTCACAAATACTACTACCACGACTGCCACTACCGCCACTACTACGACTAGTACTAGTAGAAATAAGGAAAACAACAAGACTAATAACAACAGTGAGAATATGGACAATGATGAAACTTGTAGCAATGTCATAAGACATATTAATATATCGCTTGAGTCTCTGGAAATGTAGCTGTCCATGAACTGCCAGGGTTCGCAGGCATTGCTTGGAACAGCGCTCGGACGACGGTGGCACCGCTCTCCACTATGCTGCTTTGGAAGGAGCTGGACATGTTTTCTGACATGTTGTAAGCCACGCCTACTTCTCCCGGACCAATTCAACAAACGGTCAGGAAATGCGATTGCTTTTGACAGCTTGCTGCAAGCAAGAGCCGATCCCGATGCCATAGACTGTCAGACGCAGTTAGGTCAAGCTTTGCTATGCACGGACAAGAGGAGAGCTCATTGATTGGTCCATAGCAGGGCCGAACATGTGGCAACACCAGAAATCAAAGCCATGACAGGCTGGACACTCGACTTGAGCATTCTCTCTCTCTCTCTCTCTCTCTCTCTCTCTCTGGCTCTCTCTTGTGTTCACAGGTGAGATGGCGGCCTTCTACGGTGAGAAGAATGAGAGCTTCGGCAAGGAGGGCAACTTGGAGAAGTTGGTTGCTCTCGGCAACAGTCTGCTGCATGGCTTGCAACTTCGAGAAATGCATAACTTCCCCATCATTGCAATGGTCATAGTTGTTCTGAGAGGAGTGACGGACGTCGTGGGGGCCTTTGTAGAGCTTGTTATTGTTCCTTCGCTCCATCCATCCCCGCATCCATCCTCGAAGCAATAGCAATCGGATTTCAATGGTTCTGCCGCAGTCGTCATCATTGTAGCAATTACTTGCAGTCACGGAAATGTCTCGTCTATCTCTGGACCTGCCCGCAGGCTCGCAAAAAAGAAGCACGATGGTGCCATCAAGACGTTTGATCAGACACTCGTGGAAGCGCAAGTTGTATCGAACCGGGAGGCTGGGTTTGAGATTGCGGGTTGACAAGCCAGTTTCTTACAGTCCGGGCGTCATGATCAGAGCAGGAAGCCGCTACGAAAGATCAGCATGAAAGGCGAAACTTGGCATTGTAGTGCTGGTGCCACACATTACATATCGCCCATCCTGCGCTGAAGCGTAAGGACGATACCAGATGTGCCCAGAGCTGGATGCTTGCCATTGGTTCTTTTAAGGGACTGTATAATAACCCCGTGCTGTTAAGTTTAGTCTTGACATGTCCGTGTTAGGTTTCGATGGTTTTCCGTGGAAAAACGACAAGAAGAAAATAAAATGAGAACAAAACATAACGAAACGGTAACGCATTTTTCGTGGTAAAACGATAAGAAGAAAACAAAGCGATAACAACACTCAGGGATAAGGATTTTTATACCTGGTTATTATACAACCCCGACTTGTGTAGACTGTGCTTTGGCGGCGCATGACTGTCTCCATGTCTCGCCAAGGATGCTTTGCTGCAAGCCGGTGAAACCATGGGCGTCTGACTCCCAAATGCTGGAAGGGTTCGCCGACGTCAAGCACAAATTTACGTACAGTCTGGAACCGTCTCGCCAGTTCAGTGGTGGAAGCGTTTCTGGGGCTTTGCCTGTGGAATGCCGAGACCCGAAGAGCTGCATTTCGGCTGCCGGTTCAGCGCTCCGGCTTTCCCAAGAGTCCTGGCAGGCGCAAGCGCAAAGCAGGGTGAATCTGCTGCTAAAGAAGTTGGTGCTGAGCAATGCCGGGCCCGAAGGATGAATGAGGTTCAGCGTTCGCGTTATGCCTCCTGATATTCTGGCCTGCTTTTTCGTGCCCTTGCATTGCGAGACACTTGATGATGGCACGGCAGAGAGAGAGAATGCCGAGCACAGCACATCAAGGGGTATCTGACAGGCCGTCTACGCTCGTGGGACGTGCTTCCTCCAGAGTGGAGACCTTCCACGGGCGGAACAGGACCTTGCAGAAGCCTGGCGACTCCGGGCAACGATGCCAGAGTCCGAAAGAGAGGTGGCAACCGTCGCTGCTGGAAAGTACATAGTCACACGGCACGAATCCTTGGAGGTTCTGTGGGCCCGCATTGAGAAACTCCGGCAGCTGCGAAGGGACGAGGCGGCAGCAGCACGGCGGATGCTTGGATCAGGCGCGAAACTGGCAACACGGCATCTCGGGGAGGTCCGGCATGATGCACTTGCAGCACGCAGCTCTTGCAGATTTCCTGTCGTTGCTGCATGGTGGGCTAGCGGCTCTCGGCCGGTGCACAGATTTGCTAGTGCTTCCTGGCCAGGTGCAAGGACCCTGGACACGATGGACTGACACCGACCCGACTCAGACAGCGCGGAGACTTGCAAAATGATCGCTCGAAAGGGGCCGGCGCTGGTGCCTTACTTACTGCTTGTCCTGCGGGGGTTTCGGACAGGCGATTGCAACGACGGTGGTGGCCAAAGTCCAGGACATGAACCCGCAGGAGACGATCGAAGCCGGGAAGGTAGGTTGCCACCCGGTGCGGCGGGCTATGATGGGCTCTTCACAGGACTTGTCGAGAACTGCCTGGGCCTTCGCGGAATCCTCGGAGCTCGAGCACACACGGTTTTGTTGACGACGGCACGATTTTCTCCGAGGCAAATGCTCGCATCAAGCACGAGAAGCTCATGGACGAAATCTCTTGGGAGGTCAGACGGCTCGTGCAAGCACTGTGCTACCGGTTTCTGCATTGATTCAGCTGCTTCAAATCGAATGCATGGCATGGCCACCTCCAACAACCACAGAATAACTGTCCCCTCATGATTCAATCGGTTAGTTTGTAACTCGCGCATAGTCGTGAAGCGAGTCGTTACTCTGTTCTAGGTTTCTAGTCTCTTCAGCCCATGTTGTCACATTTGGACCACCCCCCAAAAATGCGAGTCCATGCAGGGAAGCACACGTTGCCAGTGACATCAGCCGCGGAGGGAATCTCTAAATGCCATTCATGCAGCCTGCAAGTGGAAAAGCCAGAAGCCTTTGATAGCTACGTGCAACTTGATCTTAACAAGTATACTTCTTCCCAAAGATCAAGACTAAGAGCTACTTTGAATTCGAGCCGCCATGGTCATGGCACGACCAGATCTGGGCCTCGGCCTAGCCGAGAGAGGCCTGCCAGCTCTGCGGAGGCAGTTTCCTCACCTGGAGGCACATCTCCCCCGAGTCTCGGTCTTGTAGGAGAGAGTAGGGCCCTGAATGCAAGAGTGCATGAAATCCCCGAAAGCGGGCCCTGGATGAGAGAGAGAGAGAGAGATCCTTGACAGGCCGATGCCTTGAACCTCTTCCTTGAATCGAGTGAGGAGGGGGCGGGCCTGGCGGATGATGCGCTGGCCGCCTTGGCTGACAGCGGCTCAGGGGCGGGACTACGAGAAGCTGAGCTTTCTCTCACGATGAAACTGCTGAGGACATGGAGCGAGAAGCCGCGGCTGGCAAAGAGGATCAGCTGCTGGGCTTTGCATGGCTGCCTGCTGCGCCTGCTGCCGTTCCGAAACCTGGATGCACGTCCCGCGACGGGATATTCTTGCGCCCAGGTTTGGTCATTTGCCAGTCCGTGGCTGCCGGGTGACGAGAACAGATGGCTGTGGGTCGTTGCAGGTGCCAGGAAAGCCCTAAATTCGTAGGCTTGCATGGCTGTGCAGAAGCGAAGGAAGTTGGTTGGGCCTTCGAGGGAAGGAAGTTGGTTGGGCCCTCGAGCGAAGCCTAAGCCACCCTTTTCCTGGAATTTGGAGGTGTCGACGATTCTGCCGTACCCTCGAAGCCTCACAACGCCTCAGTCCTTAGTTCGAGCATCATCCGAATTTCGGTGGGGCTTCTACGCCGGGAAGTGGGCTGTGACCAGCTCCCCCGTCTCGCACTGTTGAAGACTCCAATGAAGACGCTTGGCACAGTGTAATTAACTTACTGAATCCCTTCCTGCGTGCCCACACTCTTTGTAGATGAGCTCTGTGTGCAGGTTTTGCCAAAGTCGCCAATGCAACTTGCGGGGAGTCTTGCAGTCTTCTTCTTCTTCTTAGCCTCATAGCTTCCGCCCTCAGTCACAGTCTCCCTGAATTTCCCCCAGCTGCCAGCCTCTGGCGGGCTCGTTTGCAGGTGATCTTCGAGGGAGGAGCGAGCCCACCTCATGTAGGCACGGTCTTGTCGATGACCGGCTTTGAAGAGCTGGCGAAGTGCGAGAAGGAGCTCCAAACAGAATTAGCACTGATAGTAAGCAGAGTCCAATCTTGAGAAGAGGAAAATGTTGAGCGTAACTACTGAGGCTTCCTTCTGAGGTCTGTCATATTCGTTCCGTGCCTAAGCCGGCTGCAAAGGTTCTGCAGGCTGGACTTGTTCTTCCGACCGGTGAGGTCCTAGCGCTTCAGACAGGCTGCAACCCGACACTTGGAAGATTTCGATTTACAGTCATCTAGCATTAGATGCGCATCTCGGCACCAGCTGAGGACCAGCTTTCTGCTGCAAGAGTTTGGCATGCACGAGCTGCGGGTGTGTAGTGGCAGTGCCCAAGAGGTTGAGCGCTGCTGGTTCATGGTGAGAAGCTCGTCCCACACGGTGAGGGAATCCATACTCTGTTGCTGACCAGTCTTGCTTTGGGTGCATTTGTCGTACTTGTAGACTCCTTCCAAGGCTCGCCTTTGGGAGAGTATGGCGAAGCCCTTGATTTGTTCAACGATGCGTAACTTGGGCATGCACAGCGACAGTGCGCCTCTTTGCGCATCATGAGGCGGTTTTTGCTTCGTCTTGCAAGCCCATGCCCACAGCGAGCGCCAGCTGTCGAAAGGTACGATTGGGTCTGGGATGGGGCCTGGACATCTGACCTCGAAGACTCCATTCTCAATCTCTTAGTCGCTCTGGATGAACGCTTTGAAGCCGTCGCAAATGGCTCCGGTGGCCCGGAAAGGACTTGGCCTGTGCAAGGAGGGTCAGTCCTCACCCTTGATCCCAAGCCCGTCATTGTCATCGTAGTGTATTCGACATACCTGCACGGCCCCCGTGTGCCATGCTATACCTTTGGGTGCAAGCATGATCCGCATAGCTGAGTTGCAATCATGCTGTCAGGTGGGTTCATGGCTCAGTCATTGATGTCCACCTTGTCATCGCCAAAGAAGCGCATGGAGAAGAATTTGTCGAAGGCTTTGGAATCACAGGACCTGGAAGCCATAAACGAACGGTTTCGAATTTTATGCATGCCCAGTGTAGTGTGTCTCGAATGACAACTGAGATCCCTGCGTTTCCCTTGCATGTTCTCGGTTCAAGACAAATTATGCGAAGAGGGCGTTGACCCACCCGACGCTGGAGTTGCATGGCCAACTCCCGTGCTCCATATGCGTGATGACTACTATGAGATTCTGGGACTCCAAAGGGACGCAACTGCACGAGAGATCGTGCGCGCTTTCCGCAGGGCTTCTCTGAAGGTCCACCCTGATAAGGTGGTCTTGGCAAGCGAAGCCGAGCAGCTGTGGGCAGCCGAGAGCTTTGCTGCACTGCGGGAGGCCTACGACACTTTGTCGGACCCGAAGCAAAGGGAGAGATATGACCAGAGGGCGAAGTGGATGTCCAGCCACCCTGATCAAGTTCGCCCGGCCACGTGCAATGGCATTTTGTTGGGGGCTGACAGAGGGCTCGTGGCGATGGCACAAATCCCACAGCGAGCAGCCACAGCTGGTACCGGCAGCAAGGCACAGGCAAGATGGAACTGGCCATCACCGAGCATCGAGACCGCCAGAGCCACCAGAGCTCCAAGCCGGGGTGCGAGCCGTGGCGTTTCGGGGTTCCCAGGCTTGTCCTGGGGTGCTCAGCCGAGCAAAAACCTGAGCAGGCCAGGTTCGAGGGCAAGTGGAGCTGAATCTCTGAAGCTTGATCCACTTCGCATGGTGCGCGTCCAACGCCCAACCCGGAATTTCGCAGGCTCCGCGAATAGCCATGAGAAGACGTTTCTTCCCTTAGAGTCTATAGAGTCTATGTGCCGCTTAGAGCGTGCAAAGCACGGCCATCTGCTTGCAAGCTGCAGCAAACCCCTCCTTGGTCGCTCAGGGCATCCTTGAAAACGCAGCCGCAGGGGCCGCTGGAGAGTGCAGAGGTCGTTGGGTCAAAAAAAGACTTAGGACCGGCGTGCCAAAGCGCAGAGAACTGGCCCACTTGGTGGGCCCCTTTGACTGGCGAAGTCAGTTCGAAGGAAAATCAGACTTGAGAGCTGTACAGGGTGAATTCAACCATGGACTTGTCAGTTTGTGTTTAGGGGGAAATGCAAAAGGTACCAGTTTCGAGCGGTTTTGTTTGCCTTTTGGTGATGCATGCAAGAGTGAAGTTTGGCCAAGTTCACACGAGGACACCCTCGCTTTGGGCCGGGCGGTGGGTTGTGTGCGGGCGTTCATCCTGGGCCAGAGCCTGATGGACATGTTTGCCCCGGCTGGTCAGGCATCGACCCAGGGCAAAAACGGCCTAGGTTTTGGGATCGAGGGTTTTCGGGATTCGCGGCCTTTGGAGATAGCCAGCACTAACGTTCTGTACAGGATCTGCAAAGCAGTGCCTTCTACGAGAGCATCATGTCGTTCGAGCGGGCTCGTTTGGAGGCGGGGCACCTCCCTCAGAACCACTGGGCTTAGATCGGCCTGCGGTAATTGGTTTCCTGGATACAGCTCCAGTTCTTGTGGATGGTTCAATTCCAGTCTTTTTTTCTCGTTGATGTTTTCTTCAGGCTTGCAGCTGCAAGTGCTAGTTCGAGCATTGCACGATCCGCTCAAGATTGACTTCCACGTAGACGTAGACTTGTGTTTTTGACAGACCAGTGGCGCCTGACATGCCTCACCGAAGCACTTGAGGCAGCTTCAGTTGCGAAGCGTGATGAGCTTCAGCAAGCACTGCGGCGCCTGGTCCTTGCGGCAGATGCCCACGTGGCTGACTTGTACAGCTCTGGTAAGGGTCAGGACAGCCCGAGCAGCTGCAGACTTTGCAGCACCCAAAAACAGCCAAAGTTTCTCCGAAAGTCGTGGGCAACAGATCCAGGACTTCATCAAGCGATGGAGCGGCGGGCTTCGCTCAGAGATATCTGCTATGCTGGAGGGCTCCTCAATGCACCCCTTGCCATTCCAGCAGATGAGAGGACCATGTCGTTCCTGTGAGATTTGCCGATGCCTTCTGTCAGCATCTACGACAAAGCACAGCTCTCATCAGGAGGAGGTGGTGGCTATGTTGCGGACATGATGGCCCTTTGGACTTCGTTTTTGGCTTTCTTGCGGTCGGGGTCGTATAGCTTGACATGTTGCTCAACACGAACCAGCAAGTGTATGCAAAAACAATGTGTGTAATGGCATGTATGCAGCCAGGGAGCGTCCTCTCTTGGATCCCGTGGCTGTAAGAGATCTCCTCTTGGAGGCCTCCATGGCCGAGTCTTTCCAGGGCCCTGGTGGCCATGGCCGGGCGGAGACGACCGAAGCCATGACCACCCTGCCACCTCAGGCAGGGCCCGTAACAAGTTCAAGTCATACCGGCCCGCCGGACAAAAAAGGGGAAATCACGGTGAGCATGCTGGTGGAAGGGGGTGATACAGATGATGACGAGGATGATTATGATGATGGGACTCTTCTAGCTTCTAGCCGCATTTTGAATCTGAGCGGGGTCTCTCAGCTGGCTTTCCAGATTGCAGCCTGACAGCACAGCAATCTCTCAAGAGACGTGATGATGAAGTGGCTCTCGCCTGATATGTTAGACTTCACTGCTCCTGTCAGCCACTGCAAGGCCACATTTTCTATAGCTCAGTCGAAAATGACGCGCTGGACTGAAAGCCTTGTGGACGAGCAAATTTGCTGCCCGGATGAATAAGATGCTGCTGGGCGGCTTGTGTGCTCACAGACTTTTGCTTCACTGTGCGCGACCAGGCATTGGCAGCCCCATGGCGCCGTGCGAAATACACTCCAGGGAGCCAGGGGTTGAAAGCGTGCTTGCGACGCTTCACAGTACATTGAGCCTGGGCTTGGGCTATGTTTCGTCACAAGGTGCCAGCACTTGTTTCTATGCCAAAGATGCTTCTGGCTGTTGCGCGATGATAGCCGCAAGAGCTGACAGCCAGCTGTGTCAGGCGATGGCTCTGAAACATCTAAATTGGTGGCCTTGCTTGATCGGGTACGTGCATCGTTGCCACTGCATGCTCAACAGGCCGGGGGGTCGCGGCAGCTGGTTTCAGCATCATTCGTTTGCCATGCAGTGTTGGGATTCTTCTCCTCGCATAGGATTGTACTCTAGCTTGGTCCGACAGCTCGAGGTAGAAAATGTAGCACCTTGCACACTTTGGAGAGCATCACAAAGCATGTGGCATACAGGCTGTTACAGACTCAGACATGGGGTCTAGGGCACACGAGCATTAGGATGCTACATTGCTACATCCTTGTGTGGAGTCGACAGGACTTTCTGCAGGACAAGCGACGACGTGATCGACTGAAGGATGACTCTTGGTCGCAGCTACCAAGCGACAGTGGGTCATTGCTTGTCCCTCAAATGATCCTTCAACGAGGTCTGTCGTGTTGTGCGTGCTGCCCGGAAGAAGGGCCAGCGACTGAAGCTCTGCGTGAATATAAACTTCACCAAGGCCAGGAAATAGCTTCGATCTGCTAGTTCGGCAGTCCATCATCCAGCGACACTGTTGCAAGGCGCTGAATGCCCTGCGCGAGCATCATGAGGACGTGCTTTGATCTGTCACAACTGCATACGGCAGAAGTAGGTGAGCATGGCAGAGGGTGTGCAGCCGTTCCTGCAGCGACATGCGGGCATGGCCAGGACAGCTGGGTCGGCCCCGCGTTGGAGTCTGTTTGGGATGTTATGCAGCGCCTCAGCTCAAACTCTGAGCATGTAGCAGTGTGTCCCATAGGAACATCACGAAGATTTGAGACGGGTGCAGGAAGATGAAGCGGGTGTTTGGGTTCGAGCTCTGGCTGCATGAGGCCGGCAGACTCCTGCAAGTCTGCCAGCATCAACCAAACACATCAAGACGTTGACATTGAGTTTCATGCGCAGGAGGGGCAAGAGCCGCAGTTGATCGCAGCGGACTTCGGCCACGCGCATACCTTCGGCCGTGCTTACTATGTGGCCACGCGGTTCTTTGATCGTCCTTCGGCCTAAAGATGGCGAGAATGGCGCATCCAAGCCTTTTCATTTGGCCTTACCATACTGTACAGTACACTGTACACTGTATCATACTGCATAACTCGTTAGATGGCTCAATCAATACAAGGCAGAAATAAGTGACGGTCTCTGGAGGCAAACATCGCACTTTGCAGCCTGGCTTCGTCTTGGCGTACGCAGAGGCAGCCTCCTGCCTGGATCCAGTCGACGCAAGCAGAAACACCAGAAGAAAACAGCCCACGTCATTATGTTACAGAAGTATGCTATCCTATATCACCCCAAGTGATATTCTCCTAGGATGAGACGATACTACTATTGACTCACAAGACAAACAGCGCCATCTTGAGGAATGCCTGCGCCGGGCCGGCTTCGAGCTTTGGGACCTCGGCGGTGCGGATCATTCCCCGATGATGCAGTACAAGCCCCAGGTGGCCATGGCAGCTCGTCGTCAAACCAGGTAATATACAGTAATGTACTGAGAATAACATTATGCTAAGAGAGTCATACATGCTTTAGTACAGTCTTCATACTCCAACCTGGCATATATTAAGATGACATCTCCGACGCTTTTATGGATCGCACCATGTCGATTGGCATGTCACCACTGCGAGGAGATGCACCGGAGTGAGTATCTGCTTCGTCTCCGGGAAATCGCTCGAGCTGAGTATGCGGCAATTCCCGAGGACTTTGGCAGACCGAGGCGTACATGGTCAAGATGTAAGACGTAAGATCGGACTGACAGGGGGCGGATTCTCAGGTGATACCAGAATTTTATCAGTATGATATCTCATTCTGCAGTCAAGCATTCACAGTTTCTTCTCAGCCTCATCTGCTCTGCGTCTGCTTCGTCTCTGAAGCACCTTGTGAGACCATGACACATAGCCTTGCAATCCCCGTCTGGCATGCTCGCGTGTCGTGCCGACTTCATCTTCGCTGGCAGCATCCCAACCACGAGACCCCACCTGCATACGTATGCAAGCGGCTCAGAGGCACCGAAACTCGCAATGAAGAGCCACGGAATGCAAAGAAAGTGCCCTCGGGCTGGCAAAGACCACGCTCAATCAAAATCAGACCTGGCTGGCTTTTGATGCAAGCAGGCTTGTGGAAGAAGTTGGTTCGTTGCGAGATATAACAACACATATCACATGAATTTATGTAAACCGCTTCATGAAGTTATTGAGAGTGGGACCCGTTCCTTTGCCGCGTGTTGCAGCAATACGCCCGCAGAGGATCAGAAGACGTCTACTCCGTCTTTTTCTGAGAGCCAGCAGAAGCTTGCCGGCACAAATTTGTGGGACGATGCCATTTAATGCCCAGCAAAGTCAACCTGCCGATGGTGATGATACGAGAAACGATCTTATTGACTTGGGAGTCTAGCAGCTAGCAGGCTGTGGCTGGAGATGTTTGTTACTGTTGCTATCTGTTGCTGGTGCCCCTAAAGCTCGTGTTTAAAGGGGATAGCCTTCGGGTCCCGAGATGCATGTCACAAGACCTTCTCCACGTCTGAAGCACAACAGGCCCTATAAGCTGACAGGAAGCCTTTGGCAGATCTGGCGGCCGCGCCGCCACCCGGGGGCGAGCGCGTTCCTGTCGGTGTGGTTTTCGAGGCAACAGCCAGCAACAACCTGTTGTTGTTGTTGGTTTCGTAGGTCGAAGACGGCAGCTGAGTGCAACTTTGATGAAACAAGCTTCAATGTGATTGTTGCAGGATCTCTCGGAGGATGACCTGTGGGGTGCTGCCGCCCTAAAGGCGGAGACCTCCACCTCCAAGTCAAGCAAAGCACCCAAGGCCATGCTGGCGACCGCAAAGACAACGAGCGCAGTGGTGTTGGTAGTAGTAGTGGGCTGAACTGCTGGAGCGCGTCGTCGCCGTCAGCAGCTTCGGGGTAAGACTCGAAAAGGAGTCCTTAGCTGAGAGCCGAAGCTCTGGAACTCTGCTGCACCACCATCCGGAAGAGAGCGCCGTAGAAGATGCTCACCAGCCAGCGGCAGCACCACGCGCAGCAGATCCTTACTTGAGAGCCAGTGGTGGTGGTGGTGATGCTGGGCATGTAGTTGGTGTAACACAGTCTCTCATTATCTTTGATGCTACTGCTACTGCTGCGACTGCGCCTGCTGCTTCTGCTGCTGCTCCTGCTGCTGATGCTCTGCGATGAGGAGTCGGTCCTTGCTTTACTCCGCATCCGGCATTACAACGATGAAAACGGCGTTCACTCTGATCCTGCCTCTTCCGATCTATCTTGGAATTACCATGACAGAAGGGATGTCATCTTCTTGGCGGGCAGCGGCGGACATGCACAGGCTGAGACAAAAGCCAAGAAGCCCAAGAAGCAACCAGAGACTTTGGAGGCGGGGTGGATGGGAGAACCTGTGATGTCTCCTGTTAAGAAGAAACCGAAACTGCTGACGCTTAATTACTACCATGGATCAGCTGCGCAGGTCCCCAACCTTGCAGCTGCAACGACGGCGACGAACGGGCTGAAAGAGAAGCTTCCCAGCCTCTCGGGAGAGCCAAAGCCAGTCGAGGCCCAGCTTTCTCATGTTGCCCTTTGCTTTTGGCTCTCTGTCTTTGTGCTCATAGACGCACGAACACTGCTTTTTCCGGTGAGGCAAAGGAGCCGACGCAAGGGTACCAGCCAACTGCACGGCCAGCACAACCTGCCAAGGAGGGTTTGTTGTTATCACATTTCCACCTCGACCGTCTGAAACGAAAGTAAGATAATGTGCTCGTCAGGACGATGCAAAGCAGCAATTCTTGGCGGCTTTTCAGAAGCTCGTGTCAGAGGGCCTTTCCGAGACTGAGGCTCCATTTGCTTCGCGCAGTTTGGATGGCCAGCTCAATTCACAGCTCAAGCCAGCAGTCGGGGGAGATTTCCAACATAGAGCCAAGATCAAGGCAAGAATGCCATAACATGAAATTCTCGGTGCTAGTGCACAAAAGTTGATCCTTCTCCAAGAACCCCGGGATCCAAGCGTATCTGTAGCCCGTACCTTCGCCTTGAGGCCGCCGCTAAAGCACTGCGACTAGTGCATGGTTGAGGTGGGCCTTGCACAGTGAAAGTGTCTTGCTTTTGGTTCGCATCGGAGCGATAGGAAATGTGTGGAAAAGTCACACGAAAGGACAACAAGAAAAGCACACCAGAATCACGTCATATAGGCTCGTAATTTTGGAAATCTGAGGCCAGACGTGGGATGTTGCAAGTTTCCGGTCTGTGGCACGCTACAGTCCTACAGAGCAGAAGATAAATCAAAGTCGAAGTGCAATGCTCTGACAGGTTTGGAGCTCCTGCAGCACGCGACACTGGAGCTGCTGCTGTTCCACCCGTTTTCGCAGCGCCGGAGTGTGGTGTTGTTCTCTGTCATCGACCATGGTCACCATCAGCCGAAAGTGCAGTCGATGCAGAGAAAAAGGGGCAGGCGTGGTCTATACTTGGAAGCCAAGCCTAGCATCAGAACCACCACATCTGGGCCCCAGAACCACAGGGTCAAGATCCAAAGCTACCACCGCTCTGAATAACAATTTCCAGTGTTCCTGGCCACGACTGCGTACTAATACGTACTACGTATTATTATTATTACTACTACTACTACTACTACTACTACTACGACTACAACTACTACTATTAGCATTATTACTGGGGCGACGACGAGGACTTCTACCGGTTGCTGCTGCTGCTACTACTCCTCCTACGAGTACTGCTGCAACTATTATTGCCACTACCACCAGTACCACCACTACCACTGTTCTTTCAGGCTGCGCGTACCGCGCATGCTATGCATACTACTCACACTGCTCATGCTCATGCTACTCTTGCGGCTCATGCTACTCATACTGTTACTTCTCTTGTTGCTCGGGTACTGCTACCGTCATGGCTGCTGCTACTCCAATGTACAGCTAGTGCTACGCTTGCGATTGTTACTCGCAGTGTTCTTCTTCTGCAGCTTCTCCTCTTATTGATGATGGCCGTGGCTTCTAACTTTGCACAGCAGGTCATGGCAAAGATCCAAAGCTTTGGCAACCAGGACCTGTCCAATACTTCGTGGGTGCAGGCCCCAGTGACCCAGTGATTATGTCGGCAAGGAGGAAGAGTTTGGCAGAGGGTCTGGTAACCTGGACCCAGGGCCTCTCGTACATCCCGCATGCTTAGCGAGGATGCCGATACTTGCACGTGGACACTCGTGTAGGCGCCTACCACACCGATGGTTGCAGACGAACAGTTGCCGAGGCTTTTGCAAAGATGGCTGTTTCAAACGTGCGGACCCCTGCCTTGGCGCTCTGGCAGAGCGTCTGTCCTGTGGCTTCAAAGTTGCCTTGTGCTGACTTCTCGCTGATTGTCAGGCCATGATGATGACAGCAATTGGGAAGAAGCTGGTCACCATGGTCAAGGAGAGGATGCAACCTGCATCGCCCAGGTCAAGAAAACCAAGTCTCTTCATCAGGACTTGATCCCACAGGATCTGGCAAACACCGTGGTGGCCCCAGGGTCCAGCGACTTCCGGGCCCCGAAAGATGGGTTCTGCTTTACTTGGGCGATTTATGCGCAGGTTTTGATCCCATGTGCTACCAAGGCATGGGCCTTTGCCACTCTGGGTCTTCCCGACAGCGGCTTGGCTGACAGTATTCCCATAGGTCAGGAGAGATCTCGAGAGCACTTAGAAAAGAGGTGACCTCATGGACCAGATCTTACTGGAGGCCGCAAATCCCCGTAGAATTCAGCTCAACAGTCCCCATGCCCGGGCTTGCTGAACTCCAGGTCATCGCCAAGGTGAGCGATTTCTCCACGCAGAACCTGGCAAATACTGCCTGGGCATATGCGAAGCTCGGATCCCCAAAGCGGTTCGATTTGCAGCCTTCCGCCTTCGAGATGCTACTTCCTTGCATTCTCACAGGCTGGGGCTCTGGAATGAACGGCTTATGCAGACGTGGCGTACTGAGTTCGGGCTGTTCGTGGCAAGAGACGGGTCACCTTGCCCGGGCCAGGGTTGTGCACGAGATTGGACTTGCAAGGCTTTCCCTGGCAATCGTCCGCAAGGCCATGTGCTCGCCCGCGTCCTGCAAGCGCTTTCGTACCTTATGCTGTTGTGATGCTCCACACCGGGAGCAGGTCAAAGATTTCGATGGTCAGGCAGGGAATCATGTCGAAAACCGTGCTCTCAGACACTCGGGACCGCCACATGACCGAGAATGCTTTGGCCAGGGCCTGGCCAATGTGGCTTGGGCTTATGCAGTGCTGGGCTTCAGGAGCCTTGCCCCCAGGTTTCGATTGCCCGATGCTGCCTGCGATTCCCAACCTACGAATCTTTCGTCATGTGCTATACACTATACACCCGCGATCATGAGCATGAAAGGGTGACTTGACTAGGGTTGAAGTGGATTTCCGTGAGCTCCAGGTAAGAGGCTCTCCGAAGCTTTGCTCGCCGCTGCCCTTGAAAAGATCGAGGCAAAAGAGTTCGGTGCGCAGGACCGTGCGCCTAGCGAACATGTCGCGGAAGGCCCAAAGACTTGATCTGCGTTTTTTCGAGTGTGAGCGCCGAACTGCGTCTTTCCATTCGCAGGAGTTAGCGAACCTCGCCTTTGCCTTCGATGTCACTGGCGACGAAGATCGCTTGCGATCCTTCCTGGAGGCCGTTGTTGTGCCAAGACTTTGTGGCACCCGGTTTGCTTAGAACATCAAGCAGGGGGCTTCTTGCTTGAGAGGCAGCGGTGCCTCGCTTTCTTTCGGTTGATGGTTTCTCCGATGCTGCAGCCGCACCCCCAAATTTCAGTTGACTCAGCACTGAGTTTGTTGAGTTCAAAGAAGCACGGTCACGCGCAGCAGTGTCATGTCAGCATGGCATAAACATTCCGGGTGAAGAACCTGCATAGTGGAATCGAGGAAGGGTATGATGCCGCTCCTTTGTCTTTGAGAACTTGCTCACCGGATGTTGCCGGTGCGGTTAAAAAAACTATTTCACACGGGTTATACAGCAAGGCACAAAAAAGGACACATGTGAATGGACTGACCCTACTAGCAGCTTCCGCATAGGATGGCATGAATGCGTGCATATGTGTGTCCGTAAACAAACCCCAACTGAAGAAAAAGGGTTGCTAGCATTTCCAAGATGTGTTTCTGCGTGTACGCACGCATGTTCGCATGCCAATGCGTATGTATGTATGTATGTTTGTATGTATGTATGTAGGAAGGACGAAAAGAAGGAAGGCAGGAATGAGCGAAGATAGTTATGTGTATGTGTGTCTAACATAGAAACACACACACACACACACACAAACACGCACACGCACAACCACACAAAACGCACACATATGTGTATATGTGTATATATACATATATATGGATATATGCATACGTCTCTTCATACACACAGCACATACATACATATTTCCCTGCATACCTACATGCATCCACAGACACATATGTATTTGTATATGTATATGTATACATATATGGGTGCCTGTGTATGTGTATGTTTGGAAATGTTTATGGTTACCTATGCCTATGCACATGTGTTGCCATACGTGCATACATACATAGGCCTCTAAGTCTAAGTTCCTATCTGTCAGTCTGCCCATTTATCTGTCGTAACAAGTCTTTGTCGTTGTGTTTGTATCAGTGTTCGCGTATACGTGTGCTTGAGCGGTGGTCCGCCCGTGTGATTTTATGTGCTGCAACTGATGCATCAAATATCAGCAGAGTGGTGCCAGATGTCAAGAGGTTAAGGTTTCGTTGTTTCCTAGACCTTCAATCCTTATGCTATGACATGAATACGACTCACGGCAAGATAGAGGCCAACACATCGTAATCTAAAGCGACGCCGGCTTGAGCATCATAGCAGGACATGAACGCGACTGACGGCAGGATAGGAGCAAACGCATCCTGATCTAAAACGATGCCGGCTTGAGCATCATAGTGGGATAGGATCGCACAATCCGGCATCACATGAACAGATGAATCATATCATATTAGCAGACATAACGCAGCTCAAGTAGCTATAATGGCACCAGCGCTGTCTCTACAATATCGAATCAGAGACTGCGTGCGCGTGCAGCATGCAGACATGTAACGGTAGTCATACATATGTATGCACAAAGCCATCTCTCGACTGGAAAATTCCGGATAGTCTGTGGTAGTAGAAGCAATCAGTACCTTCGTGTCGTCTAGACTGTCATCTAGACTATCAAACAGTGTGGACAATCACGTGCGATGCATGGAACAGTGTGCAGCCGTATGCACAGGCTGCAACGACCAGTGTGCCGAATCAGGCGCTGGTACAGCCAAGGCCAGTACTGAGCTCGCGAACATCGTGGCTCGCCACCGGTTTCGGAGCAGAGGCAACGGGCTTGGTGACGTCGTATTTCTAGAGTCGTGGGCTCATGTCTGCATGGCAACAGAACTTTGTGAAGATTTCTGCGGCATCTGTTTCGCGAGGTGCGGAAGAGTTAGATGTCGAGTTTCGTCAGCGCTTCTTCCACCCTGTCTTGAGGGCATTGCAGAAATGCCGGGAGCTCGAGGCAGAGGCAGCAGGAATGCCGCCACCGAGCAGCTGCATGTGTCCAGGTGCGACGCCCGGAGGAGACTCTGTGGAGGAGTCAGACAAAATCGTCGAGGAGCTAGCAGAAGAGGTGACAACAGCCGGAAGCTGGGCAGTTTTTGGGCATGCTTGTGTCGCCGCCATGCGAGCGGCCGGCAGCCACCCCTATACCACTTGAGGACTCACAAATTTTGGTGACTTGGCTGAAACAAATGAACCACACCTCATGTGAAGCTGCAGTCACGGACACGGACTAGCATGCCTAGCATGTCGGCCGTTTGCGCTCTGCCGTCCCAAGGCTACGTCTACGCACGACAGGCCATGCAAGAGCTAGGCCGGAATCTGTAGTGTGAGTCATGCTGCCCACTTGTTGTTCCTGAAGCGCCAGGTTTTCGGATCTGTGACGCGAGCCAACGCCCTGAATGGGTGGTGGAAGCCAGAGCGTTGGCAAGAAGCCAGCTGGAGGAATGGCGTATTCCTGGCACCGAAAACATTGTCGCCAGATTCCTAAACAGTTTCAATTTTTTGTGTTTGCAAGTGTAAGCAATGTGACTTGAGGCCGTAATCTCGTACGAGCTGCACTACAGCGCCTTGTCTGACCAAAAGGAAGTTGCGAGTGTCGAGTTGCATTCATCTCCATGAGAGTCCTGACCTGTGGCCTGCGATATGCACGGAGCTTTCCTCGCTCTCGACCTCTACACAGGTGGTGATGTGCTGCGCCGCGAGCCCACGGTGGTTACGAGCGGATGGGCCGAAGGTGTCCACGATGAGGTCAAGGCCCGCCGGATCCCACCGACCTCCGAATTGCTGGTCCAGCTCTAGCTCTAGCTCTGTGTCAGACATGGGCGTCAGCTCAAAGTGCTGAAGCATGCTGCAAGATGCTGCAAGCCAGCAGGCGAATCACAGAATGACCTTTGAGTAGATGAACTTAACCCTGCCAGGCCATGTTGCGGCCGGTTGATGCCCGGGGTTGGTCCTGCGAGTCCTACTCGGAGCGAGTGGCACTACTGGAACTTATTGAGGCGAAACGTGGAAGCAGGGGACCGTGCAAGATGTTGGTTTCAGTGCAGCAGGTGACACGCAGTCTGGCTGAGCGCAATACTGCTTACAAGCAAGACGTGTGCGAGTGTTTCGGCTGCAGTGCCACCATCCCCGTGCACTGCCATATAGGGCTTGAGGGTTCCTGAGTCGTACTCGTTTTCACGGGAATGCGCAGGACGATGGGGGTAGATCTCTCCCTCTCAACGGTTGCCTTCTCTGATTTGGGGCCCGCATTCATCGACGTTTCAATTTATTCAGGAATTGAACCCGAGTATGTCTGAGGTCCAAGAGCCAGGTTCTTGTACATGCGTTGTGATGTTTGATGTTTGACGTTTGATGACTGGGAGGCTTCCCCAAAATCATGGACAATTGTCTATTCAATCCTCACCGCCATCCTCACAGCAGAACCCAGCCAGGCTGCCAGATGCAGGTTCGGCGATGAATCCGTGTCGGAGCTGACGGGCTGGGTCCGGATGTATCACTCGCATCACACAAGTGTGCAGCTGAAGCTGCAATAGAGGGCATCAGTCAAATCCGGTTAGGCGTTTGCCTAGGCCTTGGACCTAGTCTCGCCCGACACTGGATATGCTGCTGCTTGCAACCAAGGACGGGACTTGGAGTGTTTTGCCAGTTCCGTCGCCACGTCCCAAAGGCAATTGGACTACCGATTGCCTTTGCATCGCCTTCATGCAGTGGCACATGGGTCACCGAAGCCAGGTCAGCTTGGACTTGGACTTTGATGGAGCCTGGTACACATGGGCGGGCAACCCTCGTCCCTTGACACTGCTCTCCGATGAGCCCAGCTTGCAGAAAGTGTCACGGTGGACCGAGTTTTGACTTTTTGGCATGTCTCAGCTTTCCGAGGAGGAGAGTCTCTACTACTACGGCTGAGACAGTTGCTGGTTTTCCACGACAGCAACCGGATGACGCAGAGCAGTGATTGATTGTCGCGACGAGCAGTCGCTGTCAAATGTTTCCTCGCCGCATCAGCACATCGGAACTTGCACATCTCATAGGGTCGGGAAAAGCTGATCGTCTTTCGTATTACGCAGCTTTCGTGCTCAATCTCTTATCGCGTCTGTCTGACAGCGATGGGCGGCTAGCAGCCCAACAAGCTTCTGGAGTCACCATTTACAATGACATAACAATATTTACTGGGAGCGCGCAGGGAGTCTACCCGAAGCCGATGGAAAGCCGGCTATCCTCCAAGACCTCCACAGCGAGCGACACGACTGCCAGAGGGAAGGGGCTGTTTAGGGTTTAGGTGTTCTGTTGGACTGCTTCCCAGCTGATCAGCAGAGTCTGGGTTCAAAAAACGGGTTTGGCCAGGCGCTCATATGGACTCGGTGGTCGCTGCTAAGGTGGAGCAGGAGCTTACTCCCTGGAAGTGTCCCATCTGCGCCAGTCAGCGTGACCCAGATGCAACCGAAGGGATCCTCCATAATCCTGTTATTCCCTTTGCTATGCTAGTAATAACAGTAACAACAGTAATAGTAACAATGCTCAGTAACGAGAGGGTAGTGGCATTATAGTCCGGATCGGCCTGGAGGAGATCGGTGAAATGGGACCTGCCTCGACTGCGCGACAAGCATGACGAGAGAGGGGACGCTTCCCAGAAGTTATATAAGCACACACTACATGCGTGCAGTATGCGCTGCTGTGAAGTGTTCGCCTTTCTGGTACATGCTATGCGTAACTTCACAGCCGCGTTTTAGCATGCATTGCAGATAGCAGCAGGCAGTGTTCGCAAATTGGAGCAAGAGATTCCGTTGACTCCACGAGGTTACCAAGCAAGAGGCTTTTTGCTGGATTCTATATGGCTCCTCCTTGGTGCCTTGGATCAGCGGTGCAGGACGTAAGCGCCCGTGGCAGATGTTGCTGGTCGCCTCAGGCTACTATAGCCATGCACTTCGCCAAGGGCCAGACGCTGCCACGCTTGCTGCTGGCCCTCTTCACGTACTGGCACCTTTGTCAGCATGTTGTGTCCCGGTACGTTGCCTCACCGATCAGACCACGTCGCTGGCAGTACCGTGTCATCTGTACCTGAGTTTGGGCTCAGGAGCCTTTATGCAGCATCTGCCGAATATGCTCCTGGGCGGTGATCCAGAACAACGACCAGCAAAGGAACCACCGAAGTAGAGGAATGGCAAGGGGACAGTTTCTGGAAGGTGCGAAGCAAAGAAGCACACGTGAATGATCTTCCCTGCCGCGCTCTTGCCTTCCTGAGTCTACCCGATTCAGTGCTGATGGATCAGATCATCGTGTTTTCTACATCTTGCCACCCGGCTGCAAGCAGACATCACGCAGTGTTTGTATCGCATACCGCTTGCAGTAGTAGATGTGAAGGCGGGCTTGCTAAAAAGTTTCTGGCAAGCAACATAACACGGAGTTTTCCAGCCGGAGGGGCCTCTCTCGCGTTCTTGGTGCTGCTCGCATTCCATGGTTACGCTTGTATCGAAGCATGTGATAACGAAGGTCTAAATGACTCAAACATATTTCATATTTTTGGCAGTCTCAAACTGCACGTGGCACTTATATGTGGTACCTTTCATGAGCGCCTTTTATGATGAGCGGAGCGCTTGCATCAGGTTCACACTGTTCTAGAAAGAAACTCAGTTCTGAATTTGCAGGGCTACATGTGTTGGCTCCAGGTGAGCTACGGGTCGCACAACGAAGAAAGGTAGATAAAGATTCTCTGACCCAGATGTGGTCCATACTGTCGGGACGCAGTTGTGGAAATGGACTCTCAGCGGGCCTCAACGGCTTGGAAACAAGGGGTTTCGAGTCTGGCATACTGTTACTGGAGCAAATCGGCAACAGGTTCGGGACCAGGCTCACGGGTGTTTATTGCATGGTGCGACTTCGCTTATGAAGGCTCTGCTTGACTTGGGTACCCGTCGGGGTTTTGGACCTACATTGTTCTCTCAGCCAGCTGGGTCTGGGGTCCTTTGGGCTTGCATCAGAGACTGCTTGATTGAGGCTGGCTATGAGCATCTTCTTCATGGACGTGAACTGGACAGGCGTTTTATCTTGTCGACATGTTCGTGATGCCAGAGACGGTCACACTCACGAGAAGCAATGGCACTTAAAAAGCGATTTCCTTCACCGTGCAAGTCTTGCTGGAGCAACGCTGGAGGTGATGTCCTGGCATCTGGAAACCCAGATGCTCGAAAGTTGCACTTGAATGGTCTTGCGGCCTGTTACATGTTGAGACCTCGACGCATGTTATCGATCAGCTACCATTGTGACCAATTTGCGCATGATATGCTGCTCAGGATCGGACTGATGCACGCTCGAGTTGGCGTTTGGCTACCTGCCTGCCGCATCCCAGCTCGTTTCAGTTGGAGCAGGGCAGTGCCAGCGGCTGCCAGCGTGACCTGCAGCTCTGAGGCACGTTTGCGACCTTCCACCTCGCTCTGAATGCGACAAGTGCCAGTCTCTACCTTTTCGCGGCAAGAAGCTCTGAAGGGCTTTGCCAGGCGCTTGTCATGGAACCACGCTCCTAAAGCTGCTCCCTCGGCCACTGTTGAAGGTGCTCTGCTGGATTGCCTGTGCACTGTTCTTCCCCAGGACCTTGGGTTTTTGCCAAGAAGAGCATCTTACCAAGAGATCTGTCCAGCAAGGACGTATGGTCTGCCGCAGCACAACCTCATTGATTCGATCACGAGGCAGCGTAATGCGAAGGACTACATTGGCAGCTGCCTCAGCTGCCGGAGGGGGTTTCCCTGCGTCAGGGAGACCGAGCTACCTGAAGTTTGCGAAGCGCTGGTTCAGGTCGGTCTCAGACTGTTATGATCACGACCCTCGCTCTGTGCTCGGCGCCAGCTCCGACCTGAAGTTTGCTCTGCTCTGGCTCTCTCCGAGGCCTTGGTGGTGAAGTGCATTACCAAGGGCGTCGAACCAGGCGGAGCAGTGCCGAGAAAGCGTCTGCCTGCTGGAGCTGGTGTGGTGTCTTATGAAGGGCAGATACATCTGGGCCACAACAGCTTTTGGACCCTCATGTCCTCCCTGTTGCCGCAGCCACAGCCGAGGGAACATGTTGGGGCCATCGGTCATAAAGGCAATTGACTAATCAGGTTGGTGCTGCTGGTCAAGATCCTGCTCTACGATGTTCACATCGCGGCACCTTGGGCGTCCACAAGTACACTGTCGACTGGTCACGGAGCTTTTGCATGCCTCAAGAAGCCCTCAGGACACGAAGTGGCATGCAGTCCGGTGCGAGACGTCGCATCTGCGCCCAGCAGCATTTCTCAGCTTGGTTCCGGTGGCAATGGCTGGTGTGACTCAAGCTGCAACATCTTAACCAAGAAAGTCCTGAAAGTCCCTGCGAGAGTTGTGTGTGGGCGTCTCTTCGAGGTGATGATGATGGCAGCCGGCTCCTTCTTGGTGCTCGATGAAGAGTTCAAGGCTTGGTCTTCTCAGGGCAAAGCGGGATCAAGGTCGCAGTGGGCTTGGATCGGTTGGATTTTGCAGGAACGCCGAGCGGCCACCTCGGCCAGCCGAAAAGCCGGGCAGAGCTTCTGCCAAGGCCGCTTGGGCTGCAAAGGCATCGCTTCTGCCACAGATCTGCTTTGGCCTTCCGATCGTCGTCTGGAGTCACGTCCTGAAGGTTTTGGTGTTTTGCTGCTGTCTGTGACTACAATGCGGATGCTTCATAACGAGCCACACGTCCCAGCCGTGAGCTGCAACAAGCGGCTGATGGTCATGTGGAAGGCCGGAGAGGTCAAAACACTGCTGCGCCGTCTCATCCGCGAAGTTCGAAGTGCAGCATGCCTGGTTCACAGGTCCAAGTTGGTGTGCAGCTGCTCTTCGCGGCCTTGTCCTTCAGCTTATCGGGCAGAATCACCGGCAAAGAAGGTCTCTGCCTATGCGCTGGCATCTCAGATGTCCGAGTGTGGAATGCGGAGATTCAAATCTGCACTTTGAGACTCCCGGGCCTTGAAATCGACAAATCGTCGGAATTTTCGCTTTTGTCAGGCTCATATTTAAGAGCCTCCGGCTCAAGCCGCCGACTCCGTGGGCGACAGACCAGAAGCCGAATGCACTTCCTTCGACGACTTCAAGGAGCAGGCCCTTTGGGGGGGAGCGAGGAATATAGGTCCTTAAATCATTGCCTAAGGGATCGACAAAACGGGGGAAGAGGCGGAAGCACGTGAGGCTGCGCGACGATGACGCGAAGTAGGAACAAGGAGCACCTTGGAGCGGAGATGCCGAAGGGGGCAAGGCGGGTGGGGTGGGAAATTTTAAGAGCCTCCGGCTCAAGCCGCCGACTCCGTGGGCGACAGACCAGAAGCCGAATGCACTTCCTTCGACGACTTCAAGGAGCAGGCCCTTTGGGGGGGAGCGAGGAATATAGGTCCTTAAATCATTGCCTAAGGGATCGACAAAACGGGGGAAGAGGCGGAAGCACGTGAGGCTGCGCGACGATGACGCGAAGTAGGAACAAGGAGCACCTTGGAGCGGAGATGCCGAAGGGGGCAAGGCGGGTGGGGGGTGGGAAATTTAAGAGCCTCCGGAGGCGTGGGCGACAGACCAGCGACGATGACGACTTCAAGAGCAGGCCCTTTGGGGGGGGTAGGAAATATAGGAGCACCTAAGGGATCGACAAAACGGGGGAAGAGCGAAGCACGTGAGGCTGCGCGACGATGACGCGAAGTAGGAACAAGGAGCACTTGGAGCGGAGATGCCGAAGGGGGCAAGGGGGTGGGGTGGGAAATTTAAGAGCCTCCGGCTCAAGCGCCGACTCCGTGGGCGACAGACCAGAAGCCGAATGCACTTCCTTCGACGACTTCAAGGAGCAGGCCCTTTGGGGGGGAGCGAGGAATATAGGTCCTTAAATCATTGCCTAAGGGATCGACAAAACGGGGGAAGAGGCGGAAGCACGTGAGGTGAGGCTGCGCGACGATGACGCGAAGTAGGAACAAGGAGCACCTTGGAGCGGAGATGCCGAAGGGGGCAAGGCGGGTGGGGTGGGAAATTTTAAGAGCCTCCGGCTCAAGCCGCCGACTCCGTGGGCGACAGACCAGAAGCCGAATGCACTTCCTTCGACGACTTCAAGGAGCAGGCCCTTTGGGGGGGAGCGAGGAATATAGGTCCTTAAATCATTGCCTAAGGGATCGACAAAACGGGGGAAGAGGCGGAAGCACGTGAGGCTGCGCGACGATGACGCGAAGTAGGAACAAGGAGCACCTTGGAGCGGAGATGCCGAAGGGGGCAAGGCGGGTGGGGTGGGAAATTTAGGGGCTGCGCCCAGGTGCGGGCAGCGCGAGCTGTTGTCAGAAACCCGCGGTATATAGATAAGTGCAACGTAGGCCCGAAGTGCGCAACTTGTGGGTGATCGTAGGCTCTCAGCCCCCGTCGGCCCTGCATGTAGCCCGCACCCCCCGTCCGCCGAACCCCGCTGATGCTCATGATGCGCGCCCTTTGGCGGCTTCCGCAACCCACTCAAAAACTTGGGAGTTATGACTTCGCGCCCACGTCGCGCCGCCGGCGCCGGTTGCGGGCGCCCGAGGGCTCATGATGCTCGCCGGCTCGCCTCCTGGCGTCGTCCACGGCGGCCCCGAAACCCGCCACACCGCGGGGAATGGCTGCAAAACGCGTGCGCGTTCCGAGACGCCTTCGGGCCAGGCCCCGCGTGGCCCGAGGGAGAAACGAGGGTCCGATGATGCGGGGTCCGGGGCGGGTCGGCGGCACTGTCGGTCGTGGCTTCTGCTTCGCAGACGAAGCTCATTCGTCTGAGCCATAGCTCAGTCCATACAGGGCAGCGAAGCGCTGCCCGATTTTAAGAGCCTCCGGCTCAAGCCGCCGACTCCGTGGGCGACAGACCAGAAGCCGAATGCACTTCCTTCGACGACTTCAAGGAGCAGGCCCTTTGGGGGGGAGCGAGGAATATAGGTCCTTAAATCATTGCCAGGGATCGACAAAACGGGGGAAGAGGCGGAAGCACGTGAGGCTGCGCGACGATGACGCGAAGTAGGAACAAGGAGCACCTTGGAGCGGAGATGCCGAAGGGGGCAAGGCGGGTGGGGTGGGAAATTTTAAGAGCCTCCGGCTCAAGCCGCCGACTCCGTGGGCGACAGACCGAAGCCGAATGCACTTCCTTCGACGACTTCAAGGAGCAGGCCCTTTGGGGGGGAGCGAGGAATATAGGTCCTTAAATCATTGCCTAAGGGATCGACAAAACGGGGGAAGAGGGAAGCACGTGAGGCTGCGCGACGATGACGCGAAGTAGGAACAAGGAGCACCTTGGAGCGGAGATGCCGAAGGGGGCAAGGCGGGTGGGGTGGGAAATTCTAGGGGCTGCGCCCAGGTGCGGGCAGCGCGAGTTGTTGTCAGCGGATGGGATGTAGCGGGGGAACGGGAAAGACACGGTCAAAATTTCCAGACGGTGCCGAGATAACGACAGCTCGACACCGGAACAAAAGTGTGACGTAGGCCCGAAGTGCACAACTTGTGGGTGGTCTTACGCTCTTAGCCCTCGTCGGCCCTCCATGTAGCCCGCATCCGCCCTCCGCCGGACCCCGCTGATGCTGATGATGCGCGCCCTTTTGGGGCTTCCGCAACCCACGCAAAAACTTGGAAATCATCACTTCGCGCCCACTTCGCGCCGCGGGGCCGGTTGCGGGCGCCCGAGTGCTCATGATGCTCGCCGGCTCGCCTCCTGGGGTCGTCCACGGCGGCCCCGAAACCCGCCATGCCGTGGGGAATGGCTGCGAAGCGCGTGCGCGTTCCGAGACGCCTCCGGGCCAAGGCCCGCGCGGCCCGATGGAGAAACGGAGGTCCGATGATGCGGGGTCGGCGGCGGGTCGGCGGCACAAGCCGTCGTGGCTTTTGCTTCGCAAGAGAAGGCAATTCGTCTGAGCCATAGCTCAGTCCATACAGGGCAGCGAAGCGCTGCCCGATTTTAAGAGCCTCCGGCTCAAGCCGCCGACTCCGTGGGCGACAGACCAGAAGCCGAATGCACTTCCTTCGACGACTTCAAGGAGCAGGCCCTTTGGGGGGTGAATGAGGCGAGGAATTATGGTCCTTAAACATTTGCCTAAGCAGATGACAAAAACGGGGGAAGAGGCGGAAGCACGTTGAGGGCTCGCGGACGATGACTCGAAGTTTGGAGGAGGACAAAGCCATGCACAAGGAGCACTGGGAGCGGAGCTAGATGCCGAAGGGGGCTAGGCGGGGTTGGGGTGCGAAATTTTAAGAGCCTCCGGCTCAAGCCGCCGACTCCGTGGGCGACAGACCAGAAGCCGAATGCACTTCCTTCGACGACTTCAAGGAGCAGGCCCTTTGGGGGGGAGCGAGGAATATAGGTCCTTAAATCATTGCCTAAGGGATCGACAAAACGGGGGAAGAGGCAGAAGCACGTGAGGCTGCGCGACGATGACGCGAAGTAGGAACAAGGAGCACCTTGGAGCGGAGATGCCGAAGGGGGCAAGGTGGGTGGGGTGGGAAAGGGGGGGAGGGAGGGGAGGGGGGAGGGAGGGGAGAGAGGGGGCAGAGGGGAGGGGGGAGGGGGGAGGGGGGGAGGTGAAACCATAAACCTCTAAAGGGGTAGCTCTAACAGGTACCTACAGCAATGGCTGCATGCTCATACATATACATTCCGCTGCCCATTGGCTCACAGTGGTTTTACCATATTGAGACAAGACAAGCTCTCCTTGCGTAGCAAGACAAAACAACTACTGTCCGTGTGCAGGGCGCTGCCCTTTGATCCTTAGGGAATAACTGGTCATACACCTCCTCACAAGGAGTATCCCTTGGGGGTGTATCGGCACAGTTTTCTGGTAGCGGAGCCCGGAAAGGGCCGCCCGCCTCACAAAGTCCGCTACAGCGGTCGGCCTCGCCGAACGCTTAACCAAGCGGATAAGAGGCAGCACAATGTCGAGCTCGCATAGCGAAGCCGACGGCAGTTCCCAATCCTCCGGGGGATATGAGAACGAAGAGACCTCCCAAGGTCCAGCTACTTATGTCGCACAGTCATATGCAACATCTGACCGCATGCTTGCATCATTAGGCATAACGCCCAAGATCGCGCCTGCCTATGATGGCACCACCTCGTGGTTTGAGTATGAACAGTTGATTGACGACTGGTGCGACATAACAACGCTGGATGACACCAAAAGAGGTCCGTCTCTCAAGACGAGGCTCTCCGGATTGGCCGCAGTACAAAAAGAATCACTCAACCGAGAAAGGCTTGCAGCCCCAGATGGAGTAGATTACTTCAAGAAGAAGATGCGTCCATTTTTCGTGAAAGGAGAACAGTACGTTTTCCTGTGGCGTTTCCTCGGCCTATTCAAGGCATGGAAGGGCAACCAAGACTTTGTGACTTGGATTGCTAAGTTTGAGATCGTGCTACAGCGCGTGAGAAACTCATGGATGGATCTCTTACCAGAGATAGCTCTGGAAGATGCCCATCCAGATTTCATGCAGGCTGTGCAGGCAGATCAAACCTTCTTGCGCCTACAGGATGCAACCGAGAGAGACACATACGCCGCACGTTTCTTCGAAACATGGAACAAGGAACGCCTTGATAATCATCGAAGAGCGTTTCCTCTAAATGATAATCTCCTAGCTCTCCTCTTCCTAGTGCAGTCCGACCTAAATGAGATGCAACGTGAGAGGTTGGTAACAGCATTGACCAACCAAGGTTACCGAATTGAGACCTACACGTACCCTGTGGTACGGCAGACCATGTTCGATCAGTTCTCAACGACCAGAACTGGTCTGCAGGATCCCAATATTCGGCACACTTCTCACAAGAAGGACCGCCATGGAAGGAGAGATCAACGCCGCAAACGCGGAGGTCGAAACTTCCTCATCCTCGATCAGGGTGAATACGACGGAGTCGATGGATTCTGGCTCCAAGACGAAGACA